ACACACACAGTCGCCAGCTGAGCATTTATACAGAGTACTCAAATCAACAGATTAAAAGTGAGCAAATCAATACATATATGAAAATAATTCTCTATCTTGATCATTTGTATTTGTTGCAAGTCATTCAAACTACAAAGTAATGATCCTCTGCAAGGAATCAAACTTGGAGACATTCATGTAAATGCTGAGTGTTACTGGATGTTGCATAATGCAACATTTGGGATAGTGCCATATTCAGACTATTATAGGGTCTGATGAAAACGAAATTCAGTGCAGGCTGCCCAAGAGCAACTTTAACACAGCTATGTAACCAATGTAATTTTAGTGATAGGAAAAACATTAACTTTACACCTCATGTTACATGCATAGTTAAGGTGAAAAATGTACTTGTTATGAAAAGAATGAGGGCACCAAATTTTACTCTGAGATGAAATGTTAGCTAGGAGTTAAATTTGCAGTGAAATACTGTAATCTTTTAACCAGTGAAGGTTTTTAGTGAACTCTTCATCTGTGTAAGACTCAAGCTGCACTAAAATAAAGGCTTCTACTTAAAACTCAGTTCCACACACATCCTAAATTTGGCGTACTAGGGATACTTTCTACATCATTCCTTAAATTCCTTTAAAGACCTCTCCCACTTACAGCAGCAGCTTCTGCTTAAAACTCCAACAAGGTCTCTTTCTCTGCATGTTAGATTTATAAATATGGACTCTTTTCTTGGCAAAATGAAAACAAACAAAAAACCCAAACAGATAAACAATAGTGAATGGATTAGTTCTTTGAAAACATTGTATACTTCTTTGCTCCTCTCTCTCTTCCTCTCCCCTGAGTTCACTACAGAATTATAGTACTGGTAGCCATGCTGCTGAAACATAATTATAACACAAATTTCTCAAACTTCTCAGCCACTGAGGTTCAAGGAAGAGTGCTTGATGGACTTAAAAAAAAAAAAAAAAGTCATTTGTTTTTCTAAATTAGAACAAATCTATTAGAAAAAATGTACTGAAGATTTCTGCATTAAATGATCATTATTTGCAAAACCACTGTTAAAGAAAACAACTTTGCAAAGGTATTTGATTTTGGGTGTATAAGACAAGTTTTTCAATTCATTCAATGCCCAAATATATTTACAAATGCACAGAGATTGCAGACATGGATATTAAAAAAGGATAAATTTAAACAAACCCTTATGAAAATCTGATTTTAGACTGAATTATAGAATACACAATGAAAAAAAGCAATGGCAGTTTATGACAAGTCACACACATACTGCAACAGGATGTAAACTTCTTTTCCTGATTCATTGCCTTGAGAAGATGTCTCAATTACATGCAGAGGAAGAAGGCTGGAGAATTACCACAGTAATTCATTTATATTACCTTCCTGTGGAGACCTCCTATTTAGTCACAATACCACTCTCGCTCTGTTTTCTGCAACAATTACATAAATTACATAATTTAATACCCATGAGGGCTTTACATCTGTCATGCTATAGGACTGTGATTTCTCTTGCTATTTTGAAGTAGAACCCTCTCTAGTGCTATTGTTCGATGTTTTACTACACACTTCATAGCACAGAGATGAGTGTAAACAAAACCACAAAGGCCTATGCTAATCAAAAGTACGAGTGTGAATTTGTGTGCCTTGCAAATTATAAGTTGTTTCATTCTACAACGGGTAATAAGTCTCAGGAGCGACACAGGCTGTGCTCTTCTCTTGTCATTAATACCAGGATCGAGTACTGGCCAAGCAATTTGTCAGTATTTCCTTTGCTGTTTTCCAAATATATTTTTGAGTAACAATTCCATGCAGTTTAATGTCATAATTGTGTGGATGTATCTTTCCCTTCACAAATACTGAGAACTGTTTGTATACCTTACAATTTTTTGAAATAAAAATATGCAAAAAATAACCACTGGATCATTGCAAATGAAACCAACATGGAAACAAATACCGCTAAGGGTTTAGTGCAAACAGCTGGTTTTCAGTCGTGCAAGATTGATACATCTCTGATACATCTCGAGATGGATACAGTCTAATTTTGTGAAGCTCTGACCAGCCTCTTTGATGCATGTCCTAAATGACTTCCAGTTTACGAATGAAAGATTCATATTAAAAAGTCAAAGTGACAAAGTAAAGAGAAAGACCAATTTTTAATGAAGTCTAGCAATGCTCTGCTCTGGAGAGCAATACATCAAATTTTCTCAGCTGAATACTTGTTGGACCCATGCTCTTCAATGGAAAATATTTCTCCCATTTTCAACTCCTGTAAACACTTTGCTTTTTGTAAACATTCTCAGAAAATTAAGGAAAACTAAAACAAAAGGGCAGTAACATGACAAGTTCTTAAGACGCTTCTTTTCAACTTTAAAGTAACGTTTTTCACAGTTGAGAGCGAATCAGTAATTTTCCTTTGACTGCTTTGATTCAGGCACAGTGCTGAAAACCCTTGATGTTAACTCTGCACATTCTAAAATGATACAATAGTGCATACATTTCTGTGAATTTAAGAGGACTTTTCTAGCAGCTAAGAACTTAGGAACGCAAATTGTAAAGGAACAAAGTGAAAAGACGAAGGAATTCAAAGGTTACTTCTAAAATCTCCATTTTTATTTTTTAACACAGATGGTTTTGTGAAACACTGTTGATGCACTTTAACTTTTCAGTTGCCAAAATTATAATCATCAGCAGCTGCATAAGAAATGGTAGTTATGGAGGCTGGAAAGTCCCTAGGAAAGTCACGTCTAGTGTTTTGCCACTTGAATTCTATCCCAAACAGTAGTGATCTAAATGGCGTGAAGTGGCAGAAGACATATACACGACATCTAAAAGCCCTGACTGTGTAAGCAGCCAATAATCTGTTGAGTGTTATGACACAGGGCATTATACTCTGATGGATGTTCTCGTCCACAACTGATGGACATGTCTTGCTAACTGGAATGTAGGACACAAGGTTTTCCCATTTCTTTAAGATGAGATATCACAGGATGGCATTTGGGCAACTGGTCATTCTTTCAGAACCCTATACCCTGCAATAATTGCTCAATAAGAATTTACCATTAGGTAAAAAAAAAAATAAAATAGAATTTTCAATTACAGTGATTTCTAACAGCAGTATCTTTAGTCATGCCAAGGCAAAGATACTTGGAGTATTAACTCTAAAAATTCAATGCCAGCAGAACTCAATATTATTACACAAAGGTTTTACTTTGTTGTACATTTTAATGCTAACTTTAATAAAAAGACCTACATAATGAAAAAAGTCAGATCCAGAAATTATTTTTTCCCCATTTTTTTCCATCTCAGGTTTAAGTTTTCTAACTCCTTAGATACGAGAAGGGCATTACCAGATAAAATCAACAGTGATGAACTGCCAGGACCAAACGACACCCAGTCAATAACTGGAAGAGATAGTTGAACCACCTATTGATGTGTAATCTGTAGGTAGCAACTCAGTGGAAACTGTAAGAGCAGAATTAGGGGGCATGTGGATAAATGGTGGTAGGCTAAGCAAGAGTCAAAGTGGCCCTTCTAAAGAGGACTGTTAGGTCACAAAGTTACTGAAGTTCTTTGAGGAAATCACCCAGACTGCAGATAAGAGAGACCTGGTTTATATAATTCATATTTTGGAAAGTGTTTAAAGGAACCAAACAGCCACAGGGTAAGAAGGAATGTTCCTCCATGAATTGGCTCAGCAACGAACAAACTTCACAAGTTTCAGTGACCAGTCAATAAAATAAAAAAATGAAGCATAACAGAAATCTAAAGGACTTTGACTAGATCCTGGAATTGTGACAGATACTTCCATGAAAACATACAAGATGGTAAATTTGTTTAGCGAAGTAAACAAAACCTTAAGACTCATTAGGAAAGGAACAGAGTACGTAACTGTGTACACCGTCCTTTTTATTTTTTTTTAAATAAACAATACATATTTTTCCTGCTGGAATACTATTCAGTTCTGGTCCCCACCAAAATGCAGTAAAATGGAAACGATTCAAATAAGACTAAGGGTGGATGCTAAATGCATGCGTGGCTTCAAAGTGAGAACAGGTAAGTTTATAGAAGAGAAGCACTAACTTAAATCTATTCAAAATAAAATTGTCTTCCCTCTAACACAGTAGAAAGGGACATGAATTTTATTTGGGGGGGGGAAGCAATTGGTGGAAGATTTAGCTCAAGGAAAAATAGAGCAGTTTCCACCAAATAGCTTTTTAACTAGGAATTCACTGAAGGCAGTAATAATGATGACATAGTTCCAAAGACTCTCTAGAATGTTTTGTCCCTTCTATTTTTAATTACCTTGTTCTGTTGGAAGTGTTAAACCCGGTAAATGCAACAGTGTTTTTTGTCTTGTTTTGTTGTTTGTTTATTTGTGTGTGTGTTTTGTTGTTTGTTTTTTTTTAAGTATTTCAAATTTGGGTTCATTTGCAGTTATCTGTTGGGATCCACACATTTGAACTTGTCATGTGAAACATTTCTCTCTTGCAAAGTAAAGGATATATTTAAACAGTATTCTTCAAATTAAATTATATAATACTTTTCACCTTCCAAGGTACCTAGACTCTCCACAGCTGGAGATGTCTTATAGGATATACAACTCTGCTGAACTGTATGATTTGATAAGGAATACTAACGAAAATAATACTTCTTTTCTCCAACAGTTTTTATGTCTTAAATCAGATCTTAAATATTGTCAATATTTAACACATTTCCCTAAGTAATGTCATAAACTTGACTACTGGATACATCTTTTTCTCTTCATGAGATTTGCCTGGGTGTTTTCATTTGAAAGTAAACATCTTTGCTAGCAAATCTGTTGTGTGAAATTTTTTTACAGCATTAAAACAGATCTGTTTTCCTTTTTTTAAAAAAAAAAATACTTTTTTCTCTTCCTGGAAAAAAAAATCTTAGTAGTAGTAATCTTAAATCATGAACTGTGATGAACCCCCATCATCTAATCATTTGTACAGTATTAAAATTCATACCATGAGACCTACCTTTTCTGCTAATAATTCTCTGATCTTGCTTGCTTGGAGACGAAATTTCATTAACTGTGACTCCAGAGTTAAACATCTTTCCTTCCAGTTCACTGTACCTTCTGGCTCTGATAGATCAGCCATATTTATGCTGGAAAAAGGAAGAAAAAAAAAAAACACACCTCAAACTGAGTCTGTTTTAAATGTTTGACTTTTTAACATATACGTTACTAAGCTGTTTTACATAAATCTCAAGAATACCCCCGGCTTCTGTACGTATACAACTCCATAAAACTTAGTGAAAGAAAATACGTGAGCCTACAAAGGCCCTTATTGTAAAGGGGTTATTTGTGAAATCTGTGCTGATAATATTTAGGTGTACCTTAATTTAATTTCTTCAGTTATTTCAGGTTTGCAATGTGTTTTTCATCATCAGCAGTGAAAAGTCAAGTATTTTAACCTTCAGTTCCTGTGTATATCCCTTCCTGCATAGAGAGGCTTTCTGGAGAACTGAGCTCTTGTTAAGAAAATGCCTTATATAGGTGTAGCTACACAGAAGTTAGCAGTACATTTGGTTTTATGCTGGTTTACTGATTGGCAGGTGATTCAGTAAAGTGTTTTAAAATTGTTATGTTTTATCAGATCGCCTTGAAAATTTAATCTCCTTAAAGAGATGCAAACTGGAGCTTATGGTTCCAGATGTAAAGATAGGTGAGCAAATGGCCCTGAATAGGTCTCCCCAGGGAAAACAATCCCCTTGTATCAGCTGTAGATCTCAGAACATCCCGGTTCATCTGTGTTTCAAGTTCACTAAAATAATGTGCTTTCATCTATGTTTAACTGCTCATGCCTTCCGAAAATTAAGCTCTGTGCCCTTTTGGACAAGCACTGCTGGAAAAATTATTCAGGATGAGAGCTGGCTCATCATGGTTAGAATCTGAGAAGCCAAGAAAATCATCTGTGTGTAAGCAGAAGGACTGGGCTCTGTTGTATTCCAGCTATTTGTAGACAGCTTAACAGAGAGTAAGTGGAGGGCTGAATGTAATCACTCAGCTCAAGACGCTTCCTTGCGAGTGAGGGCCCCGGCCTTTACATGGATCCGAACATATAGGTTTGGCTGTGAAATAACGCTTGGATTGTCCATGGGAATTCAATTTATCTCACACATACAAACCAGACAGCAAAGCACCATTCAGTGGAAGGCAGCTGTAAGACCAGAACAAACACAAGAGTATCAGCCATGCTGCATGTCGGTCACCTATGCCATGGACAAGGTGATGCTAACACGGGCACGTGGGCACAGCTCAGCATCATGGAAGAGACCAGCACAGAAGAGCCAAGATGCAAAATGTGCAGCTCCATCTCTCCCCAGCTCCTGCTGTTGCAGGAGGGAGCCCCAGCTGCAGGGGAAGGACCCACAGGTTTACCTTTGACAATGCTTCTGATGCCAGGAAGAAAAAAGGCAAAGCACCACAAGAGAAATCAAAGTCACGAGTAGGATTCCAAAACTTTAACATTTTTTTGCGATACACCCAGTAGTACTTTTTAGTTCTTTCCTGAGTTTTCAACATCTCAGATTACTCTCAAGTTTACCATTGCTAAGCAGGTGAAAAACTGTCACAACTTTCCTTTCCTTTCCACACCCTAATTTCTTTGTTACTTTCATTCCATATCTACGTTAGAAGTAAAAAGAGGAAAGTATTTTTGCCGTAATTGTTTGCCTGAAGGTAACTGCTCCACTCCTGACCCTCTCTTTCTCTTGGTCTCTCAGGCTGTGGTTCAAGCTATTAAGCACAAGGTTACAACCATCCCTATTCAGGAATCCTCTACTCTGGAGCTCAGGAATCCCTGTGGAACTGCTGAGATTCAAGTACGTTATTAAAATAGTTTCCTGAGTGGATCCTGCAACACCCAAATTCTCAACTTTAAGCACACTAGCATTTCTTCCACTGCCAGCCTTGTAGGTGATTGGCATCTTTATCATTTCCCCTATGGTGTTAAGCTTGCCAGAAGATTCCCGGGACTGTGAGGGAAGCAGGTTCCTCCCCTTGTCCCATCCCTGATCCCCTCTCCTTGTGCAGAGTTCCCACATGCACCGGGACACTTCCAAGCAGCAGCTTCTCCTACTCTGCAAAGGAAGCAGTGGCTTCAAGCATGGACTGATTTGGGCAGATGGTCTGGTCTCCTAACTACTGAAGAATGACAATTTCCTATTAGATTGTCTACTTAGGACTTCTTTTTTTACAGTGTTCTTCCTTGTTGACTAATCACAGCTACGTAAGACAGAGACGAACTCTGCCAACATCTGGTTAACAGTAGGATATTTCAGTGTTTGTGGTGGTGAAAATACAAATGGATAAAATTGGGAAAGAATTTTTGCTTTTTCGTAGGGCGCAATATTGCAGGGTGGAGCTAAAAATGTTTGTGTTTCAACAGACAAAACATTTGAGTAGATGGATTTCTGGCAGTGAACAATGCGTTCAGCCAAGTAGTTTCTCAATGCCCAAGCTAATTAATATTCCACTGTATAAACATTGCAGATAAAAAGTTCGAGAATAACTCTTTTTATTGTGGGATGCTTGTTAGAGATTATTATAATTTACTTCACATTTTCCAAAAAGCCAATGGGTTCTGGAAATATTTACAGACACATAATACACTGTTTACAATTGTGGAGTGAATGATCTTGCTTTGAATCAATGACTTCCTGTTTCGTGTTTGAGTCCCCAAGGGAGGAAAAAAAAATGAGTTCATCTCTTTTGGCTTCATAGAGTGCTCTGAATCAGCACTCTAACCTACAGAGTCCTCCCCTTCTTCCTGCTCCAGTTCCCACTGCAAAGCCCTCCGTTCTTCGCAGGCTTTAAAAATAAAATCTTTTGAAAAGTAAACCAAAAAAGCACACATTAAAGTGGTAAGTTCTAATTATGTCATCAAAAATTAATTGAGACAAGTTTGACAAGTCTGGAAAGATTAAATTTGTCTTTTTCATTTTTTAAGTTTATAAACCTCTTCATAGGCTTCGAGAAGCCAGAATGTCACATTCTCCCCAAAGGGATGGAAATAATTTCCTTTTTTTTTTTTTTTTTTTTTTTTGCTGTCTGCTTGGAAATTATCAAAATACATCTGAGGGGGAAGGAGGGAACAATGTTCCAGCTTTCTGAAGCATGTTAAAAATTTACATATTCCTTATCATGCTGTCAGTGTTTTGCTCTGTTTTTAACAAAACGCTGTGTTTAACTAAACATTTCATATTCTGTCCATATGCTCCGTCCTTTCTCTGCTGGAGGAAGCTTGATAAATCCTCCTGCTTCACTAGGAGGGGGTTTGTGCAGTGCTTGTTGGCTTGCCTACCATGAGCAGCACCATCCTACAGCGTTACAGCCCAAGGGCCCTGTACTGCAGCCCTTCTTCCACCCAAACGCAGAGCTTCCAAATTATTTTTGGAGCCAGAAAGGTTGGGCTGGAGAAAGGAAACGATGAGCCACAAAGTGGACCTGTTCGGGAATCAAGGAAGCCATTTGCAGGTTTGTCAGTGGCCAGGCAAAACTCACCTAAAACACTGGGAACTTTATTTTCCATTTGACTCATTTTGCAAAATGCCGTGCCCAGACGAACTGCACCCTAAGCTATGGAAAACGGCCTTCAAACCCCGATTTAGGGCAGGTTCTGCCGCTGTTTGCTCTGTGCTGTGGGGAGCGTGTGGCACGCTCCTTCAGGGACGGGACCCCGCTCTGGCCCTCCTGATCCCCTCATTGTGGGGCCGAGGGGGCAGCCAGGCGGCACGGCCCATGGAGCACCCTCGGCTGTACGTGGTCACTGTAACCGCGCCGCGCAAAACCACCTCGTGTCACCATTTTGGGGGCTGCAATTTTGCGAGGTCACGGCATGACACCAAGGAGTAACCTCTGGATGGGACTGGGAAGGCTGGATGTGGAGGCACTTTTAATAAAATTTGCTTTATTAAGCGCAATGAGAAGCTGCGTGCTTCCCGCTGCCCCCTTTTCGGGGGGCTCACTCTGCTGGGCACCCCACATGAGCAGGGACCCCCAGCGCCCTCCTCCCGCCACCCTACACCCCGCGGGCTCCACACCGTGACCTCACATCACGTCAGCCCCACACCATGTCGTCACCCCCCACCATGTCCTGACATGACGTCACCCCCCACCAAGCCGTCGGCATCCCCCTCCATGCCCCTCACACGACGCCGCCCCCCGCGGGCTCCGCGCCTCAGGGCAGGGAGGGCGGGGGTCGGGGACCCGAGCTCCCACCTGGCCGGCCTCGCCTCGCCTCGCCTCGCCTCGCCGGGCGCCGTCCGGGCTGTGGGCGCCGCGGGCCGCCCGCCCCACCATCCCCGCGGCCAGGCACCCCGCCTGAGCGACGGCCGCCGCGGCCACTGAGGAGCCGGGGCCGCCCCCGGCGGGGAGCCCGGGCGGGGCCTGAGCCCGGCGGGGGGAGCCCGGCACAAAGTGAAGCCCGGGAGGTCGCGGCTCGATATGAGGGGGCGCTTCGGTGCTGTGAGGTGACAGAGTGCTGGGACAGGCTGCCCGGAGGGGCTGTGGGCAGCCTATGGGTCTGGGTGGAGATTTTGGGATTGTCTTTTGGTTGGATTGGGAGCTAGAGGGACAAAATGGTCTGCGGGTTCTGCTGCACAAACCGCCTGCTCGCCACCACTGTGTTCGGCTCCTGGTACAGTGAGGTGGTCTTTTTGTGTACGCTGCTCGGTCACGATGATCAGTCAGTGAAAGTGCGTGGTTTTGTGACTGAAAAAAAAAAGGGCCTTGAAAGCTCAAATGTTCCCATCTGATCATCCACACAATTTCATTTTTTCCTATTCAGTTCAGTACAGCTTCCAGGTTTCCACTCGCTTGCAGTGACCTTAAAGTAGCCAAAGAACTCCACTGGATCTGATTCATATGCTGGTACTTTCCTAAGTGCCTCATGTAGTTTTGAAACACCGCTGAAAAACATATTGAAAATATCATTGCTGGAATAGCAAGAAATGAATTATTTTTTACCTAATATCCTCTTTATAGAGTGTCTTGAAAAGCCGCATTAAAAACAAGTGAACTGAAAAAAAAAAATGTTAGTTGTTCACATGAAAATATTTCTCCAAAAGAATAAAGATTATCCTCCTGCTCCTAACCACCTCTATACAAGAGGATTTAGTGTTGGTGTTTAATGCAAACTTCGTGTTTGCTTTCAGCCATCCTCTGCAGATAGACCCAACGCTGTGGAGAGCGTTTGACTTTGGGGTGCGCGGAGCCCAGGCAGACCGCAGGCTGTGGGAATGGCAGGCATGGACCGCAAGAGGGAGAGCAAAGCCCATGAGCTCCGTGAGTGTTTCTTTCAGGTTGATTTGCGGATTGACATTTTCTTTGGCTCAGATAATAGTAATAATGATGCTCTGCAGCTGTGCAGCCCTCGGTACTGACAGGTAAAGAGGCATGAGAAAAATAGTCTGGAAGAAGGAGTAGGGATGCTGAAGATTTTCTTTGAACTGCCCTGACAGGTAATGCCGATATGTCTAGAATCCAAGGTCAGTTACTGAAGGGAATGAAATTACAAGTAGACCAGCTGCAATGCGCAGAACAGAATAAACCTTTGTTTTGTAATTAGAAGGTGGGAATGCCATGAATCTTAAAGGCGTGATACAAACATAGAAAACTATTTTGCACACAAGTGCAGTCTCGTGGAGAGGTGTTTCTCACTGCTGTTGTCACAAGTAGATGTTACACAGAAGCAATAATAAATCAGAGGCACAGTCTTGCAAGTACGTACAGAACATGCAAAATATATCACTGCTACACAGTATGTTGAAGAAGCAAACTACACCACACTACAGAAGTAGATCAAAGTAAATACAAAACACCACAACATACAAAGCCTCTCTCAAAGAACAGATGCCGACCAAAGAAGTGTATGTTGCTCTGCCTTTATCTCTGCAATCTGACCTTAATGCAACAAAGTAACTTCAAAGTTTTTGTTTGTCTTACTGAACAAGAATACCACATTTAATTTGAAGTATTGTGAACCCTGTATTACAAAACATCTGGTCCAGAGTGTAGAAGCTAACCCAAAGAACGTCACTAGCTCCATGCCAGAGATTATCAAGTTGTTATCAAACCTGCAAGTGGGAAGTAAAATTTGGGGGGTTATTAGACTTCCATGACTACACAGAACGTGGTTCTGACACACTGGATCAAAGCCTTATGAACCTGCCATGACAAATGGGGCTTCTTCTGGTTCTCTGTACCACACAGATAAGCATTGCAACCATTTGAGGCTAGGGTTAGACTGGTGTTTTTATCTACAATTGGAAAATGTATTCCAGAAAACATCTTGCGATTCCAAAACCTCAGATCAGACACCATCTTCTGTGTCATTTCTATCCGGATTCTTTAAAAGCATGATGTATTTTAGGCTTTTCAATGGAAAGAAAGTTCCCATAACACCATATATACTAGTTGTAACACATAACTGTGATATAAAGGAAGGAATAGATGATCTTCAGTTAGTGTTAGAATTAATTAAAAGGTATCATATGGTCTTTCAAAAAGCAGATTAAAAGGTTTTGTTTAAGTGGGGAAGGGAGAAAGATAATTCCTGTTCAATTTATGGTATCACCACGACATATCTTTAAATGTTATTTGAAGGCTACAGCTTGTCTTTCACTGGTAGGAAAATGTCATCTTACATAATGGCCTGTAATGTTTGTGCTTGGGTACTTCTGAATGGAAGAATCTGTAGTTACTTCAGTTACTAGTGAAGGCTTTTTCTACTAAGAAAAATACAGCTTTTGGGAAGATCCATGGTTTCCCTTTAAAAGCACAACCTCTTTTTAATTGTTTGGCGCCACAGAGTGGTAAAATGCTATATTGCACTAAACAGCAGATTTCTGTGAAAGTTTCAAAGTAACTTAATGATCTCCCTCGAAAATAGGCTTATACGTTATTAATATAACTGCTAATTACAAATATTATTATCAATATATTTATTAATATAAATATTATTAATAGTAATAATTCTTGGTAGACTTGTATATTATTATTTATTATTATTATAGGCTTAAAATATTCTACTTACCAGATACAGGCATGCAGACCTTTAGCTACAGAAGATTAGAACTTTCAACTTCAAAATTCAGGTTTCCAGCAGTGTGGGTTAGAATATTTCCTTTGAGAGGAATTTTCACTGATTTGTCTCAACTGTAAAGTTTGTAAACATAAATCCAACCCTTAGAAAAAACATCTGACGAATTGCAGAGACCGGCTCGGCCATCACAGCAAAAACAGCCATGCCAGCTTGGTGCCGAGGGCTGCTCAGCTTGGTGCCCAGTCTCTTGGCTGTTGCGCCAGCCATTGCCTGAGGAAGCAAAGAGGCATTTTCCCAGCGCACTGTCCTTGTCTCTAGTTGCCTTGTGGTTCAGGGATTTTGTGAGCCAGAAATTTTATTTTGAAACTTTTGCTGGATTTTTTTTCTTCCTTCTATGATGTAGCCCAGCTGCTTTTGAAGAAATGTAATTTTTCAAGAACCAGAGCGTCCCAGGACAATGAACTCCATGGTTTAAATACTTCATTTCATTTTGGATGTGCCATCTGCTTGTTTCATTTGATGTATAGCAGAGCACAAACACCAGTAATTCAAAGGTTGGTTGCTCCTTACCAGCAGAAACAGAAGTTATGATCACAGAGTGACACCTTTCCAAGGTAGCAAAGTCTGATAAGCCATGCTGGGCTAGCTGCTCAGTGATAAAGGCACGTTTGGAGGTATAAGAACATCCATGTTATATGGTGTGGTTTTGTGTGATATTACGTGAGCTAGTTATAAGTAAGTGATTTTTAGCTACTGGAAACTTGGTGCTCTTGGGGACCAGAGCAAGCGTGTGAGTCTTGAGATTTCTTGAGATGCTGCTGCTTTGCATTGCACTACAAAAGTGTGCATTCTTCAAGTCTAAAAAAAAAAAAAAAAAAAAAAAAAAAAAGTAGGAAAGCTGTTTTGTAAGCAGGAAGCTGCTGGACAGTTATTCCTAGCTGGACAGAAAGTGAGCTAGGATATACTGAGCTGGAACCCTAGAAATGGTTCCACTGAAAATAGGGAGCACGTATGTAGAAGATTCAATGAAATGTAAAATGTGCCGGTATTGAACTGAGCATAAGGAGCTGAAGATTTACTTCAGCTGGCTGGAGATGTTACTTATCCTAAATGAGGATGCATCAGTTTGATTTATCTGGGAGGCTAAATCATACAGATCGGCACTCGGACTCCCTTGGAGCTGGAGGTAGCCCGGCACGCCCCTGCAAGGCACAGTGCCAGCAGTGGTGTCAACTTGCTACAAGCTGCCACACACAGAGCAGAGGGGAAATCAACCAGCCGGCAGGGAAAAACTCAAAGCATTTCCCATGTGTATGGGTATGGCGAAACCTTTCCGTGGTTCCTCTGGCTATATGTATGTCTCCAGTCAGTCGGCAGTACAAAATGTCAGTATTAAGTTATGCAGAAGTTTGTTGAAAGTCACGAACTGAGACTTGTTGAGTTGAGGTACTTTGGGCTGAAAGAAAATTGTTGTTGGGTGAAAGTGGGGTGGCAAAAAGTGTGTTTTTCCTGCTTTTCCTCACCTAAACGTTGTCGCTGTGTAATCCCAATGGCCCCGCGACTACTGGGTGATCTGGCGCTTCACCACAGCCGCTTGCACAGAGACGCGTTTCACCCACTGTGGGATTTCCTACAGAAGGCCCAGGAGAGTCCCCACTCGATACCCGGAGGCACGACCCGGCTGCTGAGGCCTAAAGCCGCCGTGCCCTGGCTCCGGGGAACCACTGCCATCCCTCTCCCCGCCGCCGAGGGGAAGGTGCCCGGTTGGGCGCCCCGCGACCGGCGAGGTTACAGCTCCGGCCCCTCAGCGCCGGGGCTGGAGGCGGCGCCGGGGGCCGGACTGCGGGGCGGGGAAAGCCCGGCTCGCCTCGCCTCGCCTCGCTTCGCCTCGCCTCGCCTCGCCTCGGCCCTACCCGGCGCAGGCGGGGCAGCGGGGACCGGGCCGGGGAGCGGCGCCCCGTGCCGAGCCTCTCCCCTCAGGGTAAGGGCCGGCGGTGGCCGCCATTTTGCTTCCTCCCCGTCCCCCCCCCCCTCCGCCGCCCGCGCGGCCTCCATGGCGGCGGGGCCGCGGCCCTTCCCCGCCCGCCGCCGGGCTGTGGTGCTGCGGGGCGGCCCGGATGTGGGGGGTGTGAGGCGGCGGCGCCTTCCCTCGGCGGCTGGTTGCCCTCACGGGCTGCGGTGGCTCCATGTGGGAGCCGCCGGGACGCGGGGCACCCCGCAGCGGGTGGCCCCGCAGGAGCAGGGAGCCTGCGGGGGTCCCGCCAGCCTCAGGTGCTGTGTGGGAGTGGGCTCATGAGGCAGGGAAACTGCAGCGCACGTGAAATTTCCACTGCCCTAAAGGGGATAACTTCCTCTCTGCAACATTTGCTGTGGCAGAGGAAGCGCAGGTTGATGTCTCCAGGAATAAAACTGTGGTTCACTAGGTAGCCCTCGCTTCGCGTTACGTCTTAAGCGAGTTTTAAACGCTCGGTCCAGTAAACTAAAGCAGCAACAGGAGTTCTGTGGTGTAATTCCCATGTCTGCGTGATACTTACAGGCTGTGACCAAGGGACGTGTTGCAGACTACGTAACAAGTGCAGTAAGGACTCCAGTGTGACAGTTTGAGGCTTATCCAGCAAATATTGAAATCTTTTCTCAGATTTCCTCTTTGTGCCACAAAGTCTCAGCAGATTTTGGACATGCTTAGAGTGGTTGAAAATCATGAAGGAGAACTATTATCTTGCAAAAGAAATTGCACAAATAATACAATAAGCAATATTTTAGGCCAGCAAAAAGGCTCTTAGAGGAAGTGTTTATAGTTATGCTTTTAAAACAAGGTGCTCTGTATTTCTTTTAACAGGTGTCTCTTCATCAGCTAAAATGGTTTTAAAGAAGAAGAAAGAAGTTCAGGTTGATGCATTCTTACTTGATCACCAGCAGCTTGAAAAACTTCAGAGTAAGGTTTTCGTTTGTTTGTTTTTCCTGAACTAATCTTGTTTTTGTTTCTGTTAGTAGAACACATTTGAGTAGCTACTGAAATTGATCTTCTTTTTTTTTTTTTTATTGTTTTGTTTGCGGTGTTTTTTGTTTTGGATGGTTTTGTTCTTTTTTTTTGGTTACTATTTCTTGCCTTCTTTAATGTAATGACAACAATTTTTTACTGTGGCAAAGTTTAAAGAGGTAATCGTTCCCCTCTGCTCAGCGCTGGTGAGGCCACACCTGAAGTATCGTGTCCAATTCTGGGCTTCCCAGTATGAGAGATATGGGCATACTGGGGAGAGTCTGCAAAAGCCATGAAGATGATGAGGAGACTGGAGCATCTCTCCTCAGAGGAAAGGCTGAGAGAGCTGGGGCTGCCTAGCCTTGAGAAGAGAAGGCTCAGGGAGAAATCTGACCAATGTCTATAAATGTCTGAAGGGAGGATGCAGTGAAGGCAGAGCTGGTGCACGGGACAGTGTTTGAAAAAATTGGTGCTAAGCTATTGTTAAGGTGACTTAAAGGACATGGCACCAGTAGGTTTAGTGGAATGGCAAAAAAGTTAATAATTAAGCAGTGATTTCTTATTATAAATAAGTTATTATTTATGCTGTTTATTGTAACTCCTTTTTTAAAAAAATACTTTTCTCCCAAATGTAGAGTTTTCCAAGGCTGAAGAACAAAACCTGGCATCTCTGCTTCTGCACTGTGGACAGCTGAACAATGGCATCCAGCAAATCCAGTGTATTAAACAAGTAAGATTTCACTGGTGTTAGTGTGCTGTCTTGAAACTGACAGTGTAATACACATGCCGTTAATGCGAAATGCAGCTGTAAAATAAACTCTAATGTTTTAAGCGTTCCTGGAAGCAGGTAAAATGAAGTTGTTACTCCTGCAGATGCTAGGTAGGAACGTAGTTCTAGTACTTAAATTAGCAAAGGCTGTGGTTACTGAGAATAATGGAAGGCAAGTGATAGCAAATTATGAGTTTTATAGTTATATATTGTTATTAGCAGAGGTTTTCCTGGAGCTTATTCAGCAACTTAATCTCAACGGGATATGGTAAAGTGGAGACAGTTTTTGCACTGTATACTTGAATGAGAGGGAATTACACCCCCATTAAAAAGACATACAAAGGCATGTATGTAGTTAGTTTTATTGATCAAGTGCTCTGTTGATTACAGATCATGCCTTTGGTGAAGATGATGGATCAAAACTCTGCATGTGATCCCATGGTTAAAGCTTGTTTGGATATCCTGGGAGAGACATATTTTTCACTGAGTGTGAAGAATCCCTTGAAAAAAGTATTAGCAAGGTAAAGAATTGGATAGTAAGCATGGTTTGTTTTATTTAAATGCTCTCCTTAAATTGAAGCTACTAACTTCTCATGCACTGCAAATTGCTGTAATTACTGAAAAATTGTGGTACTAATATTATAAATAATCCAATGTATCATTGGATAAATAGCTTCAAAGTGAAGCATTATTTTGATCTCTTTCATTACTTGAAAGACAATTTGTGTATAATTAGCACTGAATTTTAAAATCCAATAGAGTAGAAATTTAAAATGCATCTGTATAAAGAGAAAAACACTCAACTTTGACAATGTAAAGAGAAGGTGGTACAGTGGAATCATGACTAAAGAGTGTTTTCCCATACCTATTTCTATTGTAATTATGGTTTTCTATAGCTAAATTATTATTGTATTTCTCTAGCTAATTTATGACAGCCTTAATATTTTAAGATCGATTGCTTAGCTGCCTTCATTTCTATGCACAAAAAAAACATCTATTGTTCAACTGAGACCTCACAGGGCTTCCATCCAGTATTTCATATAATGCCAGGGCTTCACACCACTTTGACAGGTTTTTGTTGCTTCAAAGTTAGAACATGTTTATTTTAAAACAAAGAATGTTTGATAGATGCTGTTGAATGCTAGTGGCACACTGTGGCTGCATGCATCGGTTTGTATTGCTGCTTTTGCCTGTTGTGACCCTTTTTATCGAAGCTATACATGCCTCTTTTAGAAATGTTACTTGAAAGACTGAAATGGGCTGAGCAGAGAACAAGCCCATGAGTTGTCAGGTATGTGGCTACAGGAAAGCTTTCTTCACTTTTAAGTAAGGATAGGCTGAAATGTTAAGGAGTTCCTAGGAATACAAGTAGATAAAATGGAGAAGAGAAGTTATGCGGAGAAAATATAAGTGTTCTTAGGAGGCTGTAAAATTTCCACAGATCTAGACTCTACTTTGTTATTTTCTATCCCTGGTGTATACATTTATGTCATGATGCTACAGAAAATGTGGACACTTTGGTTTGGGAATCAATATAGAGTATTAGAACAGAAGTTGATTTACATCTCACTTGCAGGAGTAACCTAAACCTTGTGTAGACATTGCATTAAAGATACAAGAGCAAACTCTCCTTTCACTTTTTGCTGAATTAACTCACTGAGATTATTTCAGAAGGAAATCTTAAAAAACGTTTGTTGGTAAGAAAAAACTAAGGAGGTTTAATGTCCTTCCTGTATTCCAGAACAGATACAGAAAGTCATGCCCGGACATTCTTAGAACTTTCTCCTGCATACCTTGAAGACTAGAGATGTAGTTTTCTGACTCTGAAACCAAAAGGGGGACAGTAATAAACATGCTGTCAGTTCTTGATTATTATTTTTTTTTTTTTTTAAGTGTTATAGGCTGCAGTTGTACAATCTGATAGATCCAATGCATCCTTGCATTTGCAGAAATGTGGGGACAGGGTTAATATAGAAAGCAACATGTCTGTTACGAGAGCTTTACCCGACACTGACTTTGATCACATGGTATTTCACACACCTCAGTGTGAGGTAACTGATCGTGCTGTTTCTTACCGTTGTAGTTCACTAAATGGTCTTCCTGAACAGTTGATGCCGTTAGCTGTTCAAAGCTTTGTACGCTGCCTTAGGGAAGAACTGAAAACCACAGATACGTATTTGTACAGAAAAGTACTGGACAACCTTGCTTCTTGTATGGAGGACTTCAGCTTAGGTATGATGAAATCGAATATATTCTACTCTAACATGTTCAGCATTGTTTTGCATCTTGGTGCAGAACCTAATAGCGATGTTTACATCTTTATGTAAAAACATTTTTTTGGCTAGTATACAGTATTCAATAGTCACTATTTAAAATGTATTTTCTTTCCTCTAGGTAAAGCAAGTATTAAGAACCTGTTTGAAGAAGGTAAAGTTATGTTTATATTAAATTTCACTTCAGATTATTGGGGGAAGGTTGTGTGTGAAGAAGTAATGTGTGGTAGGCACAAAGATCTCTCAGATCTGATTTCATTATGATACATTTTTAACGACTAGGACCTTCTTCATGGGGTACTTTTTTTTTGTCAAGGATTTTTCCTTGGCTTGTACCTTTTAATTTCCAGTAATCGATCTTGATTTACTGAGCATCCACAAATACCAATCTGAGGGTACTTAAAGGACTGTCAGAGGCAGTGCTACTTCATGTGAAGTAATCTCTGTTCTGCCCCTCATGATGAAGTTGAGTATGGTAACACGGAGCTGTTAACATCCAGTGTTCATATAGCAGGCCATGGTCTCCTGTTGCAAGCATTCTGTGTGGCAGTAATTTGGCAGAAGTTTGATCTGCTGGTAAAACCGTTTATTATTGAACCTCAGCGATTCAGAGTCGCTGCATCTGTCTGGAAACTATGGGATAACATGGCCTGTTGTGCCCTCAGCATGCAAATAATGTTCACAGCTTTTTGTGGACCTTTTGTTGCTGCGATGTTTTGAGCCCTTGGTAATTTCAGCTTTTCATCGAGGAGTCAGAACTCTGGATGCCTCGCAGTGTTAGAGCACGTGGAAACTCTTATTTTGTACCAGGTTGTTTCAAAACAGTGTGAGATTTTGTTCCTGCATTGCCTCTTGAGTCTACACTGAATTTTGAGTTTAACTTTTTTATGGAGTGGAAGAAACACCACTAGACAGATAACTTTTTACTGTGCCTGGGTGTGATGTGTAGGGGTGATTGCTGGGAATTTTCTGTTACACTTCTCTTTTAAGTAAATTCCTAACGTAATTATTTCCACTAGTTCTTCAGTTCCTGCAAAAATCACTACTTGACATACAGGAAGAAAACAGGCAAGTGAAATCAATATAAGCTGTATTTTATCTGTTTTCATTTCATTATTGCAAGATAATTTAATATGGACTATCACTTTGATAGCCATGCAGTGGTGAAAGATGCAAACGTCAGTTTACAGTGATATGTATATAAAATTAAAAAAAATGTTTCTTTTCTTTTGTGGTAATATGATGATAGAGAGGAAAGGAACAAAAAGGTGGTAGTATTTAAGGCACTGATATTGTGTTAGAGCTACTACTTTTAAGGGAGGCCTTTGAGTTATGGTTTTGCTATCTGAATTGTGACTGAACACTGTAATTAATAAATACACTTATTAAAATTCAGTTAGAATATTTCTCTTCCACTTTTCATAAGTATTTAATTCAGTATTGATATGCTGTTTGACTGTCACAGCAGTCATCATTCTGTATCTTGACATTTTCCAACATAACATAAAGTGAAGCATCTTCACTGTGGTCTCTTACAATGTGCCTGGAGGATAACAGCGCTTAATGGAATGTTTTGTACATTACAGGCTTACAGCTTGTCTGTCTTCATATTAGAAGAGAGTTGAATGATAGAAATATGCTTTGTGCACAGAGGAACTGTTAAAATGAGAAGGGACCAGCATTGTGTTCTATCACTCTTCAGATCCTGCCCTGTTCAGGCAGAATCAAATGAGTGAAAGTTTCTCATGGGAACCTACAGAAACTGTCGAAAAATTTAATTAAATTTTTTAAGAAACTGTGTTTCTTACCTTCATTTTAAAACACTGTCCAAGTCCACTTTTTTCTTTCTGCTAGTTTGGTCAACTTGAACAATAATTTAATTTCTACCACTATTTCTATCTAAAGTTGACAGAATGTGGTTTTCTAGGGATGGTGAAGGATGGGTTTTGTTTGCTGTTTGTAAGCATATCTTCTCTTCTTTTTCCCCCAGAAAGAATAGTGGAAATCGTGTAGTTCAGACACGATTGATGCATGATTTATTGATGGCCATTAAAGTTCCAATGATGCTTGTACAGAAATTACAAGAAAATATTCAGGGAAGTCTTTGGAAAAATCACGAGTCTTGCATTTGGCAAAGTATGTGTAGTTTACTGAAAAGTTCCATCAGCTTCCTAATGGACGGTAAGTTTAGTAACATTCAAAAAGAAATGTTTTAATTAAGTCAGTCTTATTTTCTGTATAGTAAACTGTATGTAGAAAAACTTGTCTTGTTTTAGCTTGAATGGAAGTTGAACTGCTGAGACTAATGGGAGTGGGGACTAGCAGTAGGTCTTTCTGAGAGCTATGGTTTGTAGATCATAATGTATATCTGCATGAATTAGGCAGTCAGAACTGTTTATTGATGCACTGTAATTAATCATGGTTACTTCCTGTACAGGTGTTACTTTTTTGTAGTTGAACTTGACAAGTAGGTTCTGCCATGGTCCTCCTGTTCTTACCAGGCAGTTCTGTATTTTCGGTTTGTTGAAAGGTATTTATAGTTACCTGTAACACTGAAATATGAATTTGTTAATACTTACTCTCCAGGCAGATGCTACAGGCTTGTGAATACACAACTATAAGTAGTAGAGGAAAATTCAATGCCAACATTATAATTTTGATACACAGTTCTGACACACAATGTTTGCTGCATGTCTGAGTAAAATCCTTTCTCTGCCATGTAGAAACTCTACTGCAGACTGTGCAGACTACCTCGGGACTGGCCTTTATTCTGTTTACTAAAGCTATGTATGAACCAGCTGAAGAATTACCTTCCCTGGTAAGTGTGTATGTTCTCTAAAGGCTGTGAAATGTGGTAGTGTCATTAATCAGTGCTCCCAGGGTTATTTAGAGGCTTTGCTGATAGAGGTAGCAGGGCCTGCCAACCTCTGCATCTGTCTTTTGTTGGAATGTAAATCCTTTATTCTCTGTATGAAATAATGATACAGGGTTTTTGAATTTATATGAAAAACAACACGGAGAAATCTCTTTACATCTTCTAAGGTTTGCGCTTATGTACAAAATACCTTTTCTAATGTGCTAAGGTAGTGTAATGAGTTGTATTTTGCTATTACAGGTCAGTGACTTGCTTCTTGGATTGAAGAAGCACGCAGGCATGCCAGCATGGTTTGTGAGTAATTGTGGAACTCAGTGTACAGAGGAACTCTCCGACTCGGTCCTTCTCTTTCTTTGCCATGGAGCATTGGCTATGCTGGATTGGAAGAATAGCAGCATGGGTGAAAGTGGAGAGAAACTGTTACTAGATATTGCATCAGTCTTGTTGTCTTTGAGTTCAGTGTAAGCCTGTGCTTTCATTTTTACTCTGTGTCATGCTTGATTTTTTACTTTGCATGGGTCACGGTCCTATATAATTATAATATAATTATTTTGTTTTCCTGTGATAATCATATCACCTTTTTAATATATTCAGAAGAACTCTAAGTTTCAAAATGTCTTAAGTTGCATTTTCCTCTGGCATGCTGAAATGAAATGCTCTTTTGTCCAGCATAAATTGTAGTTTTCCAGCAACTTGGTGTTAATGTATGGTAAAATCCATTCTTATTTAGACAGATAAACTTTAGTTTCAGGACATCACCTCTAATGCTATTAAAAGTACAGAAGAATACAAAGTGTGCTAGTGAATGAAATACTTGATATAACACTTTTCTTTCCCTGATAACAAGCTTTGATTGCTTGCATCCAAGGCACTGCCAGCCTATTGGATAGAAGATTAGTATTCTGTTCAACCATGGTTTCTGTCTTGGAAGTCAGTTTTGTGATTTGTGTTTTAGACATACAATTCTTTTTATTTATTTATTTATATGGTAAGGAAAACTTTTCTTTAGATTTTCAAGAAGCATGCAACATAATGTTGCTCAAATACTGCCATGTGTATGCCAAATATTTTTGTTTTCAAAATTGCTGCTGTAGTGGCTTGTCACCATATTGAGATGGTTTTAGTTGTGACCAGTTAACAGTGTGTCAGGTGACAGAGCATACAATTTGAAGCATCCAAAACCTTTTTGACTTAGTCTTTTCTTTTTCTTCAATGAATGGGTAAGTGTTTCCGCATCTGTTCTAGTGTGAGGTAAGCTAAGGTGATGAATAGTTACTTTGAAACATATAATTGATACTTTTTTAAATAGAAGTGTCAAATGAGGTTAATGATCTTTTTTTGTTGTTTATTTTTGTTCTTTTAAAAAGGTTAAAAGAATCCAATATGATAATATGTTTATCGAGAACTGTTGCTATTTGGACTAATTCAGCACTAGCTGCCCTCATTTCAGACTCCCCAAATCTAAAAATCAAACTTAATGGGAACTCAGAGGTAATTGGGAAGCTGCTACAGTATGTTTACACACACTGGGAACACCCTCTAGATGTTGTTAGACACCAAACCAAATCGATATTCAGGAATCTTCTTCAGATACATCAAACCATCGTTTCCGGATACAATTTAAAATCAGACCCATTCTTTGCAAGGCTGACCAAGTATTTGCTGAGTTTGGAATGGCATGTGAAAGGAAAATACGCTTCTCTTGGCTGTCTTGTGGAGTGTGTGGGCACTGAAAGTATACTACAGTTGGACAGAACTATTCCAGGACAAATCTTGGATATGATGAATGATCAGTCTCTTGCACCCTATGCGAGTGATCTTTTGGAAACTATGTTTACAAATCACAAAGTGCAGTTTACTTCGAGTTGTAAGGAAAGTTCCTGGATTGACCAGTGGCACGACATCTGGGTTTCTCCTCTTCTTCTAATACTGTGTGAAGGGAACCATGACCAAACTACTTATATAATAGATTACTATTTACCAAAATTGCTCAGATGCAGCCCTGACAGTTTGAGCTACATGATGAGAATTCTTCAGGCTTCTGCAGATGCTAATCTTGGTAAGAAAATAAATAAAATGATATTTGTAATTATAATGAGTTTAAAAAACAAACAACAAAAAAACAAAAAAAACACACACAACAATCAGTCTTGGAAATGCAATTTCTGATTTATTGTTCCTGTTAGAAGAAGCTGGGGAGAAAAAAAAAATACAGATGGTTGTTGATTTGTGTCAATGCTTCAGGGTGGGATTAATAATAATCACGAGTATCTTCATGCCACGAGCAGAAAAAATAAGTGTTCTAACTGTGGGTGTCTTGCTGCTCTCTTTACATGTCAGACTTTGTTAAGCAGCAGTATTTTTTTCTCCTATTCTTCTGTTCCATTATTATTCCCTATATAGGCATGTCCAATAGCAGGGCTTTACAGATGGCTTTATGTTCCAAATATGTGCATATTAGATTTATGAGTTTCTTCGTAGTTTTTGATGTAATTGAATGTAATTCTTAAATAATGGCTTTTGAGACATCACAGGGCTCTTTTTCTGCGTGCTGTATTTGTGAAGAAGCTTTTGGGAACCAGACTCTTTAGAATGAGCAGAATCTGTGACAGACTCTGTCTTTTGGGGTTTATTGGCTTAGAGAGAAAACGAGGTGGTATGTGGAGTTTCTGACAAGCCCTGCAGTTAGTATTTTGTTTATTGTGTTAATCAGGCTGTAATTATTGCTGTATTTCGTTTTTTTTCAGGCTCTTGCACTACCAGAGGAGCTCTTGGAGCCCTGATGGCATGCCTAAGAACAGCCAGGGCTCACGGACACCTGGAACTTTCAAGTATCATGAGCAACGGTCTTGTATCTGCTGAATGTATAAAGCAGGGTTTAGTGCATCAGCACAATCAGGTAGAGGGGCAATTTTTTTGTGCGTCTTCAAATTAGAAGAATTGCTTAAATCCAAAATTGTGTGTCAGTGTTGTTTTAAAGATGTCATCATAGGTGTCTGTAACTCTTCTGTGTTTAACATCTAAATATCTTTCAGGTTTGCATTGATGCTTTAGGTTTGCTTTGTGAAACCCATCGTAGCACGGAAATTGTGTCTAAGGAAGAAATGCAACTAATTCTATTTTTCCTGGAGTACAACTTGAACAGTCAGTCTCCGTCAGTAAGGCAACAGATATGTTCTTCACTACGAAAGGTAATTTAAAACTGTAAACAAAATGTCGACTGTGCTTACTGTTTTAATTAAATTGCATATTTCACAAATTTTCCTACTGTTACAAGTTGCACATCTGAAAGAGTAGAAACTCTAAGATCAGGTCTGTGTTGTACGTGTTTTGCAACAGAATGGCACTAGATTATTGCGTGCAAGAGTGGCTTAAACAATTACCAATAGTAACTCCATCAAGAATAGTAGTGAGTGTTGGTTACCTTGTCAGTATACCCATACTTGACCAACAGCAAGTACAAAGCAACTTTGTGCTGTAGAGTAAGCCCTGAAGCTTGCATTGCTCTTGTTTTGCACTAAGACTTACTAGAGCTCAGGCAACAGTCACAGTCACTTGGTCAGCCTCAGCAGCCTGACTGGGAAGGCAAGGTAAAGGAATATGCAGGCAAAGCTGTGGTTGGCTTGGTGTGTGGCTGTAATGTTATAGTCTGCAGAGACTGAGTGCGTTGACACTGTAGGTAATGCCGGGGTCACATGTGGGAGAGCGTGGTGGGAGAATGTGGCAAGGATGAGGAAACCATGTATTTGCAAAGAATGTTTTTGAAAGATACCGGTTGCAAAAAAAGCAACATGAAAGGAGAAAAATAATTAGTTGGAGAAAGAGGAGGGGGAAATAGGCTTGGCAGAAACAAAAGAGTAGAAGCCCTTCTATTTCATTCTTGCCTTATATAAGCTGAGGAATCTGAGATAAAAAACCTGTGTTGGAGGAGGTGTGATAGGAAATAATACTAGTGGGTAATAAAAGCTGGGGGGAAGCACTATAGAGGTGCCTTAAGCTCTGTAAGAGACACTGAAGCTATAAAAATGACGTGCGTTAATTGAACTTGTCTTAGATAGAACTTATGTCCCATAGAAAATGGGGAGGTGGGAGAAGAAGAGTAGGCGTGAATTTAAGGAGGAGGATGGAAACAGATATTGAGATGTAGAGGCATAGGAAAGAGCGTGGTCAGAAGAGATGGGGAGCAAAAAAAAACCCTTGTTTTTGGAGGGAGAGAAAAGGATCAGTTCTGTGTTACACTGTGTACAGACTGCTAAAATATTATAAGCAACATAATCTGGAAATTAAGCTGAAAGTCCCCCTTGCCCTTATTTAAATTTCAGTGACTCTTGCCTTAGCTATGTTGTGATTTTTGTTTTATAAGTTATTTTGTAGAATACAAGAAAGTTCCCAGGTGCTTTATAAACTGGAGCAAAATAAAACCAAGCAGGAATTACTTGAAGACTCAACTAGAAGGCATCCTTCAGGGATTTTGCAGCAATATAAAGTAAGTAGATAAAAATTAAGTTAGATTACTAGAGGTATAGATGATAACAATAAGAGGTGGGAAGGTGTTCCTGAAAAGTGGTTAATTTTTCTGGAAACCACCTCTGGGTAAGCTAGGTCCTGCCTGTATTAGGAAACTCTGTGGTGCAGAAGGAATAAACCTGAAAAGTGAAACAGTGCTGAGGACCTCGTCCACACTGTATGTTGCTGTGCAAATTAATTTCTACTAAATGTGGTGTTGTCATATGAGCTGAGTGCCTGGTAGTATTTGGAGAGTATCTTTAAGCATAGTTTTGTCCAATAGCAATCCAGGTTACTTTCTGAGGGATTGCTCAGTGAACTGAAACAGCAGCAAGCGGGGACTGACTGGAGAGGTATCTCCAATCCAATCTGAAACCTTCTTGTGAGCTCACAAGACTGCCATCTTGTGAGCTGCTGGCAGTTGAGTCGGAAGTTTTAAATGATGTGCATTACTTTGGTTTGAAATAGAAATCTCCTGAGCTTCTGCTAATTAGCAGAGTTGGCTTTCTGCTAATTCTCCAGGATGGTCAGTAAGGGAATGGATGACTTAGCTGCTGCACAAAGATTTCAGTATGAACACTTTTTTTGTATTTGTCCTATTTCTCCTCTTTAAAGGCACACAAAATTAGTTTCTTTGTGTTAAACTGCTTCTTGCCTTGACTTCTGCTTTGCTGGCTCAACTGCTTTTTAAGGCTTTGATAAAATCCTGATCTCTTTGTGGGAGTAGGTAAGGTAAACTTTTAAAAAAAAATCTGTGCTCTTGGAAACAAGAAGATGGTCAATACTACAAATGTGTAGGCCTCCTATTCCTCCAAGTTGAACTGGAAGTTCCTAATTTTGTTGGGTAACACTTAAAGCAGAATGTCTGAAAATTAATTATTTAAACTCCTGTTTGTGGGACAGAAAACAAACTGTCTTAAAATCTCTCCTTTGATCTTTAGGACTTCATGTCATCTGTATGTGACAGACTTTTTGAGGCGCTGTTTCCTGGTTCATCGCACCCAACCAGATTTTCTGCTCTAACTATTTTAGGATCAGTAGCTGAAATATTTTCTGTTCCAAAAGGTGAGAGACCTCACTTAAAGGGTGTAGGAATGGGAGTTACAGATAAAAGATTGTTTGTTTCATGCTCTCTGGTTAATAGCTAACCGAATTTTGAAGTAAATACAACTATTAATGGTCCATTGAATATCTCTCTTAAATTGGGATTTTAATTCATAGTGTTTTTTTCAGCAAGACTTTCTCACTGAATTTTTGTTGTCATAAATGAAGATTTTGGACAAGATTCAGTGTATTTAATAACTTCTTCACCTGTTTTAATATCTTAATAATACATTATTTAAATTTTTGAGACAATAAAAACTTAATTGAAAAGACTTGCATATCCTTGAAGTATTTTACACTAAATAAGGAATACTTTAATTGGACAACTGGTAATAATCCACTGCTGCTGTTACTTTAGTTTCTACCCCATTACGACAACCCCAATTCAAGAGTTAGAGTCTTAGCATATTGGTGGTTTTGCTAAATCCGGTCTCTGTATCATATGGCCAACTTAAAGCAAAATTTTGTTAAATTTGAATTATTATTGTTTAAAGAAATAAGGCATGTAAGATAAAACTTGATTTTGAGAGGGAGAAGAAAAGACCTTATTGGTAGATCCTAATTTCTTAAAACCTGTAATAAATCATTAATATGTTCACTTTTTTATTGTGAGTTTGTGGTATGTTGTTGCTGCATTTAGTTGTTTAGCAGAAATTTTTATTGGGAATCATTTATAGGAGCCTTAACATTTCAGAAGCCTGACGTTCCTTTAAAAAATAAAATAAAGATTATTTTCAAAGCTGAATAGATGGAATTGTTTTTGACAATAAGTTACTTTCTATATAACTGAGAGTAATATCTTTTATATGGTAAACTTCAAAAATAAACACATCATTAAAGAAATACTTGTTAGTATTGAAATGATGCTTTAGCTAAGCTTCCATTTTAGTGTTTCTGTTAGAAGAGTTAAATAAAATGTGAATGCAGTCCTGATTCTGGAAAAAAAAAAAAAAGCTATAACATTAAAATTGCTTTATTTGAACAGGACAGGTGCACGTTTTTAAATTGGATCAGGAGATTGATTCTGCTCGTGTGCAAACTTTGATTCAGTGTTTTGCCAGTACTTTTGAAGAAGTAAAAGTCCTAGCATTTGAGCTTGTGATGAAACTGCGTGATGTTGCATTTAGTTTACAGGTATGTAACTAAAAATAGTTTAAAGAGAATCATTTCGTGAAACAGGAATGTTCTCTATTGAACTAGGTACTTGAATTGGGTACAAAACCTAACTCCTGAAAATGAGAAGTTGATCCAAACTGACCTCAGTAGTGTTCATCCCTAGTTCTTCTATATATTTTTTTGCACAGCTTTGACCCTTACCTAAGGAGGCTTGTTTCACTAATGGATGAGAGAGTTCAGGAAGTCCATTGGGTATGGCTATGAACTTTTTTGCTAGGCACACTTTAATACTGAGGAAGAGTATACATTTTGATAATCTGGTATCAAAGAAATGTGTAATACAAGCTCCTTAGCTGTGATATCCCTTTATAAATTATTGAGGTATTTTGACTTGGTTGCTCTTTAATTTTAAGAAATTGAGCTCTGTGTTTATTTTCCTCTCTGATTTGGTCTCAGGATTTAATTTCTGATTCTTTTTCATTTCTCTCAAATTTTCACTGTCTTGATACTGATTTTTATGATTATTTTATGAAGTACTACTTTTAAATTCAAAATTACAGGTGAACAAACACTGCTTCCTAATAAAATGTGATTCTCTATGATGACCGTTAGCAGATAAAACACAGTGTTTTGAAAACAGACTTCCTTTCATGACATGCAGTGTGTTTGAATACTGCTTTATAAATGGGTGTTTTCATCTTCAGTGTGTATGTAATTGTTTATTTGCTAAATACATGCATATTCATATTCTGTTTTTACAGTGATCAGTGTACAAAGTAAGTGTTTCTTAACAAATACGTACCAGCAAACTTGGTGAAAAGCACATTCTCAGGCTTCAGGGTGCTACCTAGTTTAGTTAAAGCAATATGGCAGTTCAATTAAATGAGTGATACTGTTCTGTTCTGTATTTTTCAGGATTCTGAAAACATAGATCTGCTGTTCCAAGCAGCAATGGATCTTAGCACGAGTACCAAGCCATATGATTGTGCCACTGCATCGTATTTGTTGAACTTCTTAGTATATCATAAGGAACTGCATCGTATTTGTTTAGGAAAATGGATTGAGCATAGTCCCCAGATGGATGAAAACACATCAGCAAGTACCATGGAAAAGAACACTTTAGCAGGTAAGTTTTCAGGGAAATTAACACACCTGGTTTTTATATTTATTTGAAACCTGACTGCTTTTCCTCAGGGTGTTTGGTAGGAGGCTTAGTGAGTTAGAGGTGCTTATTCCTAAAAGATTTTGATTTTGCTGTTTTATTTTTATTTGATTTTGCTGTTTAAGAATCAAGACCTGTTCATGTTGAGGCTATTACACGTCCTCAGAGGATGGATTTCATTACCATTTTGGTTGAAGAGAAAGTGACATTGAGGCCCCAATAGTTAGTTTGTTGAAGATGTATACATCTTCACATCTGGACATGTGGCAGGCTGGACATGAGCCTCTGTTTCCTCTGAGAGCTCACTCACCCAGAGTGAAGGCTTGTCTGTATCACGCTTAAGAACTTGGTATTTGCAGTGCTGGCACTTGGAGCTCTGAGTTTGCAGTCCTGTGTGTACGTTGTGCAGTGATTAGGCTTTGTTCACATGTGGAATATTCTTGGTGCCTCTGGATGAAAGCAGAGTAGCTCTTGATCCAGAAGATCTGGTAAATTTGTTAAACAGACTTCCTCCAGATTTTGTAATTTGCAATAAAACTAACATCTGTAAGTTCATAATTTGTAATAATGTAATCTTTAGTAAACTCAGGATTGTATGCTTTTTTGTGCCCTTATTGGTTTCTTTGCTAATAAGCTTTCTCTAATGGCTTATTAGTATTTTCTTCATATGCAGTGAAATCATGTTTTTGAGAAATGTTTATGATCACCGTAGATGAAGGAAATGTACGTGTGATCTAATGTCTTACAGAGTGTGTCCTGTTGTTAATGATCTGCAGTTCATTATTTGGATGTGAAGTTCATTCTGATTCTGACATCAAAGTGCTGCAAATACAAATGCAAATGAACCTGGCACATATGCCCTTCAAAATTGAGCAGCTTATTCAGCAGCTAATTAAAGATGCAAATACTTACCTGGAAGCTTCTGATATTTAATAATCTGTTGAACTGTTTGTTGTATTAAGCTGCCTCTAAAGGCAAAGTCTGACTTCTAGTATGTGGCAGGTCACCTCTCTTGATTTCGCCGTGACCTGTGGGATTGTCTCTTGAGTTCAGCATCTGGGCTGTGCTTTTTACTGCTGTTGTTTGGTTCAGACAAGCTAGATTGAATGTAACAAATGTTGTTGGGTTTCAGTTACCTAAACTCCTGCAATCATGCCCTATTTAAATGGACAGAAGAGTGAAGAGTGTAAACAAAGTATTTTCTGTACATTTTCCATTAACTCGTATAAACATGCTTCATTCCTATTTCTTCAAAGCAGGTTTGTTTCTTGGAAAGAATACTATGTATTTGTGTGTATAATTTAAAACTGTAATTCCTTGTTTTTAATTTCAGTTATCAAGCTTTTATTAGTGAATGTTGAGGAAGAAATATTTCAAGCTAAAAAGTCTCTGCTTCGAGCAGCAGCATTGTTCCCGATGTATGGGAGAGTGCATTGTATAACAGGAGCTTTGCAGCAATTACCTTTTAAGTAAGTAAAGCATTCTACAAAATAGTAAGTTGTAACTCCATAATTAAGTACACAGCAGAGAGCTGCTCACTGGAACATATAAGCATAAGATGTTATTTGTGAAGAAGTCCAGTACTGGTGGCTTATAGCACTCAATGTTTTTTCCACTGTTGAGCTAGCTGTTGTATACTTCCTTTGTAAGTATTAAACTCAGGACTTGTTAAACTGTACTTTATTAATAGTTTTCTTAAATACAGTTAGCTGCAAATGTTTCTTCTTTTTTTTTTTTGTTTTAAGGTAAAATTATTTTAATCCATGTTTTCTGTTTTTCTTTATAAAAGTAACTTGACGTTGGTGACTGAATGGAAGCAAATGGTGGCTAGGCTCATTCTGATGTCATACGAACTCTCTGCTGTAGTATCACCAGTAGTGCAGAGCTCATCACCAGAGGGTCTTATTCCAATGGATAACGATTCAGGTAAACAAACAAAAAGAAGCTGTAAAATCTGAAGCTCATGAAGTTCTCTTTGTTCTTCACAGCAGTTCAGAACTACACCTAGCACCAGGCCTTTTCAGTTTCTTATTTAACTTCTAATAGAGGTTGTCTTGGCTTCTGCAGTAAAAGGAATAAGCATTTGCAGATTGCGTGGTTGCATCTGTTTCAAAACAGGTGACTGTGCAGCCTAGTTTTCTTTCTTCCTTAATCCTTGTGGTCACCATAGTTTTCCATATATATATATATATATATATATTTTTTTTTTTTTAACTGCTAAAAGCTTTCTTTTTTACTTACATACCTAAAGTTAATTACATTTGTATAAGGAACTGGAAGTCAAAAAAAGTAGCTTAAATATTCTTCTTGTTTAATGTATAGAAATGGCAGATCGACTGCAGATGATTCTGCGTGAGATACAGCCACAGGACACAAATGATTATTTTATGCAAGCAAAAATTTTGAAGGAACACTGCAAAATAGAGTCCGAAAAGCTGGCTGTCCGCAAGCCAATGGAAAATATTTGCACAGAAATGAGAGGTAAATCAAACGCTGTATTAGTAATTAAATCAAGATACAGAGCAGGCATTTTATGTGGGTGATCAAAGTTGGAAGTTATTTGCTCCGTATAACGTTTCACTTCTTCAATAAATCTGTCAGAAGGTAGTTATTCATGGGCATGGTTTTAAAGACTAATTCACTATGTTTCTGGAAGATTGTGGTTAATCTCTCTTAGAGTACAAGTGAAAATGAGTTGTTTTGATACTGGCCTAGACTCTATTGCCCGAACTGCACTGGCCAGGTAATCTTCAACACCTTTTCTATCAAGCAACGCTTTAACACATTTCTTGTTGAAAGGTGTTAGTGTGATTTTGGTCTCCAGTGTACACAAGACTAGTGGGGAATATATTCATGCAATAAAACTTGTTGCGTGGGATCATATAAGCAGAAGCTTCTGTTTGAAATATTCCGGTGGTAAAATGTTCGATAAAGCAGACAAGCAGTAATAAATAGCAGCTGTACGATTCCTCTGTTTCTGCTGTTGAATTTCAGACTGCAGTATATTCCTTGTATGCCTGCATAAACTTGGGGAATATCTGTTCATTTAAAATGTAATAATTTATATGAGCTTTTTAAGTTTTAAAAACAAATATTTGATCTTTCTTTCCTCACATCTTTTTCCTGTGTACAAAATAGTTTTGGTTGGGCCATGTGTTTTGTTTCGTGAGTGTCTGTAAATATGTTAAAATCACATAATGGCCACTAGATGGTGGTGTTGCATTAAAGAAAAATGAATTTGTGTGGTCTATGAGTATGGGGACATCAGAGTTTTTTAAAAAACAAAAACCCAAACACAAATAACAGATAGTGAGTGATGGACTGATCATTGATGCAGAAATTTGTTGGAGCCTGGCTACAAAGCTGTTGATGTTTGTGGAGTTCAATGTGCAGTTGAATGTTGATGTTGACCAAAAGACCTGTACTCTTTAAAACAGCAGTAAAGGTGTATACTGCTGTGCTTTCTAAGCAGAATTAAGTACAGTCATCATTCCAAGAAGGGAAGTAATTAGGGTTAACAGAACTGACTGATCTTTTGGTCTACCAAGTTTAGAATTGTTTCATAGTCAACTGTTTGTTGTGCCTGAGAACCTTAAGTTACACTATTGCATTTGTTGATTTTTATTTTTAAGGTAAAGAAAGGCAAATGTGTGACGTCACAGCTCAAATGGTTCTTGTATGTTGCTGGAGAAGCATGAAGGAAGTCTCTCTGCTGTTAGGGACGCTGTGTAAGCTTTTGCCTACACAGGCTGCATCTGAACCTTCAGACGGGTTGATTACTGTAGACCAGGTAGGGAAGTACTTTTCATTAAATAAAAAAATCTTCATATTGTTGGTTGGGAAAAAAGAGTTTTCAAAAAAACTATTTGTTTAAATAAACCTATCTTCAATATGGGGAAAAAAAAAAGCATTGTAATTGTCATGTGCATGGTTAACGGTTTGTTTTTTTGGGGATAAAATGGTATTCAGAAGGCATCATACCATAGCAACAAATAAATGAAGAAGTTATTATATATAGCTAACAAACTCCTCAAGAAATATTCTAATTGTTTGGGGTTATTTACGGATTGTATATTATATTCAGGAAAATAATTTTATTTTATATAGATACAGATATGAATTATAAATATGTTTTTATGGAATTGATAAAAAAAAAAATCTCCTAAACAGACTTGATTTTTAAACAGTCTTCTATTTCATTTTGCACTGTAGATGTTGGTAATTTGCTTAAAGCTCTTCATTAATTGAACTTCATAATCAATAATTCTGAACGAGAAATACGCTGACTAGTCCTAGTCTTGTCTTACATAGGAGATTGAATTATGGATAATTTGTATGTAATGTGACTCTCTTTTTCCTCCAATGTTTTTGATTTCAGAGATCAGAAATGTTAATATGCCATCTGGGTCTCTTGCAGAATGTTGAGTGCAGTGTTTACAAGAAATTAGATTACCACAGGCATTTATTTGGGAAATATTTTCTGTTTATTAAATTTCTGTTTTTAATTGATGATCTTTTCATTTCCACATGGTTTTGACAAAATCAGTCCATCTACATGGAAGATGGAAATATGCGAGACATACTGCGTTTTAACTTCTTTTTTTTTTTTTTTCCCAAGACAAAGTAAATAGTTTTCCCCTAGGTGTTACTACTTTCTATCATAAAATAATAGTGTACAGCAGGTCTTATTTCTTATGTTATCTCATGTTGTAGTGCCATGGAAATAACATCAGTATCTTTATCCTTGCATTGTCTCTAGCCCCTGTGTTTTCATCTGGTTAACAGCTGTGCTTGTATTGTTGCAGAGATCTGGAGGGTAGATGAGAGCAGTGTTTGCACCACTGTGTTCCTTAATCTGCTCCAAGTCAAACAGGAATTGCTATTTTAGCATGAGTCAGCTCTAACTTGTAGCATCTTCATCTTTATGAAGAAAACAGACGTGAGCAGTTGCCTTTTCAGAAATGCTGTGGTATTAAGCAGTATATCTTCTTTTCATATAGCTACCTCATTGGATTCTTTGTGCTTTTGACATCTTCCTGTAAAAACATCATCTGCGCTCTAATTTGAATAATGTTACTTGATAAGAAATCAGTTTGAAATTCTGATTTTCCTCAGGCTAGTAAGGAAATAACTGTTTGGCTGTATGTAAAACAAGTATTAGAGGAAAAGGTATGGCCATTTTCACTGTACTTTTTGTAAGTGGCGTTACATTATTGGACAAAAACCATAATTTCATCATAAATGAGTAGAAACGCCAGTACCAGAACTGCTGTGGCTTGAGACTTCCATGAAGCGCTTATTTTTTCAGTGCTGAGAGATTAAATGAGTTGAATTTTGATATCTAATCCACATTCAGCTTTCCTTTACAGTTGCCCATCTTTTTCTTTGTTCTGTAAGTGTCTAGAGATTTAAAAACACCAAGTGGTCAAACTCAGGAGAAATCCTGGATCCTACTGCTCCAAGCAACTGGAGTAAAAGCCTCTGCGTTTAGTGAGGGCGAAGTAGGTGTTGAGAAATCCTGCTGCAAAACTTCCCTTCCTAGTCTTGTACCTTTCTTCTTGTCTTCTTGTCTAGGTCAGTAATTGCGTTAAATTGTACCTTACGGGATTCGCTGTTCCTGTCACAATTTATTCACAAAGAAGATTACATTACATCTTGAATTTGCACATACTCTTTCCCTTTCTAATTGAGCAAGCAAATGAGAAAAGAATGCTTTTCATTGCTGGTCGATGTTAAGAAATGGCACAATGCAACCTTTGCTACTAGGAGGTGGGACGATATCAAATCTGCACCTTCCTTGTATTTAGGGGAACCGATTGGGTTTGCATGGCATTCCAGTGCCACGCTGCGCAGACTCTGCACAACATTTTTCAGCTGCTCGTTGTGGAGGTGTGTGTACGAAGGAGCCTAGAAATTCTGCATATAACCTGGCAGTTGTCAAAGCCTAGCTCCTGTTGGCATGACTGCTTTGCCTTTACAAACAGACGTCGAACATGCATAGTATATCTGGAGGAATCTCTCCATTCAAATACGTGCTCTGTCTTTTATTCTCCATCTCGCCCAGAAATGGGTAATGTCAAACTTAAGGCTTGGCCTGTCAGGATAATTAATACAAACAGTCTTCCGTAGACAACAAGTCCAAGTAGCAACCAAGTAATTAACCGAGTGATACCCAACAAAGAGTCTGATGTTGTCCCATGACAACACGTGATGTGCACATCATGAGACAGTGCTCAAAGCCTGGAGGAACTTGGAGCTCTTCCTCAAACTCCTATTTATTTCCAAGGAAAGTTTGAAGTTAATTTTGGGAGATAAGCTTTCCAGTACTGTGTACCAAAGTGAAAGGAAGCAGATGACAGAAGTAAAGGCTTGGTACTGTCCCAGTGCCAGGGGTTCTGCTTGTGTTAGCCCTGACCATCAGAGGTGGCTGATGTGAGCATTGTGCTGGAGCCCTGACACATGCAGAAGACTTTCAGAATTGGCAGAGCTCTGCACTTGTTATGTATGTGCGCAGCCAGTGCACGTGTGGCTCCCATTGTTGCTTCAGAGTTTGTTCTACAAGGAACAAGTTTGTTTGTTTGTTTTTGTTTAAAGCAACAACAACAAAAAATCACCGAGCCAACAACGAACCAAAAACAAAAAACCCACACCAAAAGCCAGCTTCTCTCCAGTTGTTAATGTAATGTCTCAAGCAGAGTTGAGTGTTGTTGGCAGTAGTTCATCAGCTACAGGTTGTTTCTGTGAGGTTTCTTCACACTCCATTGTGGGTTTAAAGTCATCCTCTTCTAAGATTTTGGAAAAATATTCCCTAGAATGTAGTATCAGTTAGTGATATCTATTAAGATAGAGAGGCATGAATGTACCAACCATTTCCCAAAGCACTTTGAGAATCTGTTGTACCAAATACGTGTCTTGAATACAGAGACTTCTGGTTTCAACAGCAAGTGTGGCCCTGTAAATTTCAGTTCTTATGTTACTAAGACCAGCCTGTCATACTCCCACTATTTGGTCAAGGTGATCAAATATATTTAAGATATTTGCTCCCCACTCCATACCTGTGTATTTTATATTAAACTGGAGTGTTCATTGCTACAGTCACTCTTTTGTACAGTTGCTGTATCTTCACGCTGATGAGGAGAACATGAATTCCTTGGTATGTTCTCCATCCTGGCATTTGGAGAACGGGTTTTATGATGCAGGGAAGCTACTACAGCTTCCAGCTATCCAGCTATGTGTTTGGTCCTAGAGGAGTAGAAATGCCACACTTAGGGATGCTGTTAGATAAGAACACGTACTTAGCACTGATCCTGAGGCAAGTTCCTATGTCATTTGTGAAAATGGAGTTAGGGCAGTTTTTTCTTCAACCTCTAGCATATGAATGAAAGTGAATACCTCAGAGTTCAATTTGATGTAAGCTTCTAGTCACTGTAGCTGTTGCAAAAAACTCAGAAATGTAAATAGCAAAGTTGAAAGTTATGTGACAAAAAAATCCCATACTCTTCTAAAAAAAGAAAGGGTGGTGGTGGAGCAGGGCAGTGATTTGATTTGCATCTGTATGGCTTTCTTGGTTAGGTTTTGTTTATACAGCTGGAGAGTTGGTCTGTCTGTGGGTCAGTTGCTTCTGAAAAAAGGCACTCCTGCTTTTGGGCTAGAAAGCTGAAACCCCACAGATACATTAAATAGCTTAAAGTCCGCTCAGATAAATAACTGTTCAAGCTCAAATATTTCCAATTACTGTTTGGTTTATATTAGGTCAGCTTTAGCTGCAGGAAGTAGTATATTTTCCTTTCTTCCATTTTTTTCAAACTATTGCACTCTCATTGTTTGGATAATATGAACTAACAGTAGGGTCGAAAACCATATACAGCTAGGTATGACATTAACTCCTCTGGTGCCTTAATTACTTGTCAGGCTATTAAAGTATAACTAAGAGAGTAAGAAGAATTTAATAAGAAGCTTGAAATGGTTTTATACTTGGTTTTTATATAAAACTTTTGAAGAACTGCTTGCTGAAGAACTTACAGGAAATGCTCCTGAAGAAAATATTGCATAAAGTAATGAAATGTGTTTCGTATTTTAAACAAATGAAATTGTAAGTTTGATTTAGAACTTGGAAGTTTATGCAAATTAGAATCTTTTTTGTAGAATGAGTTTATGTGGCATTGTAAGCTTCCAACCAGCTTTAAGAACTTGGTGTTTTGATGGAGTAGCTTCTGCTGTTAGAATGTAGTGCTGATTTTCTTTGGGATTTTAGGTTAAGAGTGAAGGCAAATAAGGATTCAGAACGCTTCCTCTGAAAATCAGGGTTGTCCCATTCTTTTTTTAAAATCTGAATGTGCTCCTTATGGACACAGCTAATTTTATATCCCTTTATTTTTTTAGTTTTCAAAGGACATGACGCTTGCCTTTAACCTGAAGAACTGAATGTAATCTTTGTAATCTTCTAAGTGTTTTTTACAAGAGGTCTTCTGATTGCTTTTTGCTTTTGCCATTGGCCTTTTCAGTCAGGAAGAATTTCTGGTCTTAGTTGTAGAAGTATCTTGAATGTGTAAATAATTTGTCTATTTCCAATTCTAAGTAACTTTTTTTTTTTTTTTAAAGGTTAAAAATATTGGGGACTACTTTAAACACCACCTACTGCAGTCAAGGCACAGGGGTGCATTTGAATTGGCATACGCTGGATTTGTGCAACTTACAGAAATGCTTTCCAGGTAAAAGATGGGCAATTTATTATGTATTAACTTATCATTATGCTTTTGATATAATTTACCAAATGGCGTCATCAGTCTTGAAATTGGCTGTGCAAACAGGTCCTTGATTTCATGTGGATTTTGTTTGAGTTTGGTGTAGGCACAACTGTGACATTATTTGCATGATGTCTGTGTCTTTGGATAGTGTTACTTATGGCCAGAGATGGTGCTTAGGCATTGAAAGAACACACAGACATTTTATGCCTGTAGCATTTTTCTCCTTTTCTGGAGTGTGAATTTACAGAACAACTCTCAAAAGCTCTTGGGGAAAGTAGGAGTGTAGAATTCTCCCCCAAGGCTCCTCCTTCTTCTGCTCTTCCTGAAAATGAATGCCAGACCTTTTGTTTTCAGCCAGGAAGTTTTCCTGGAAACTTTTATTACTTGTCATTGGATGAGTTGTGTATATTGACATTTGGAAGACTACCTGGCAGTGCATCACAAGATGCGATATGCAATCTTTCAATTTTTTTCCTTCCCCTTGTAATTTTATGCGTTCCTAGAAGAACAAAATAAGCAGCACTTTCCTGAGATCTAGGCAAGGGTGCATGTGAATTTCCACTACGTGCTTAGTTACCTATTTTCCAGAATAAATACAAGTATTGGTAATGTTACTTTGCAGCATATTTTATTTATATCTATATATATATTTAATAAGACAAATCAAATTCTCTAATGACTTCGTGGGTTTGGTTATTTTTTAATGTAGTTTTTGGAAAGATCAGTCAAATTTTGTCAAAATCTGGTGATGGAAACAGTTTTGGTGGTTTTAACACCAACAGAACAGCAGCCTGCCCAGCTTCACTGTGCGCCTGAGACAGTTTCCCAAAGAGAAATTAGAGTATGGGCTCTAGCAGGAGCATGCCAGTGGGGTAACTGCTTAGCTAGTAGCACTGCTACAGGAACAAGTGTTTTACACATTATGGCCTTCATTTTGTTATACCAATGAGATAACCCATGGTTCTGGGTGACGTTATCTGTAGAAGGTATGTCATTTCCTTTTATGTGCTAGCGATCTCTGAGGAGCAATCTCTCATTTTAAATTGGTCTGTGTAGTTAGTTTGTTGAGAGCCCACACAATCTTGGTTAATATTTGCTTATTTAATTAAAAATAAAAAAATTACTGAGATACAACACATGTTTTTGCTTAGCTTCTTATATCAATATAGTTTATGTTTGTGTAGATGTGTTTTTTTTCTATACTGTGAAGACATATTTGAGGAAGCTTCAAGGTAATGCACCAGGTGATTGCCCAGTGGCACTTTGTGGCTGACCCCCAGTTAACTTTGCTGCTGGTCTAGAGATTTCCTCTGTTCTGTACTGTGAGTATTGAGAGAGCAGCTCCTGCAGGGAGCGAGGCAAGACATGCTAAGGTAGTTACTGGAAACATGGCCAACAGTTGAGATACTTCCATTTATCTAGGCACCTTTCTAGAGAAATGATTGGATTTTCACATCAATTAGTGAACCTAATTTGAATGGAATATGGAACAGACGTTTTATACTTACAATTTTCCAGGTTGATTACAAAGCATTGTTTGCTGTCTGGCGTGTATTTCTGACTGCTGGTTCTAGATGAAACGGAACGTTACACACTGTTTTGTTCAGTCTGAATCTGATGTTGATTCAGGAGTGGGGAAAAAAAACAATGCTCATTCCAGCAGCAAAAAACATTCCTTCTTTTCAGGGTTTCTCATGCAGACTTATGACATAATATAATTGAAGACGTTCAGTATTGTTAGCTAAACTTGGTTTCATGTGTGAAACTTGCTTTTTTCCCCAAGGCAGAGAGAAGTTCAGGTAACAAAACATTATCAAGTTAAGACACTGGCCTTCTCTGTACATACATAGTGACAAATTGAAATCTGTTGTGCCATGAGTTGGTATTTTCATGTCAGGTAGCATTTCCTTGAATGCTTATTTAATGAATACAGCATTCCAAATAAAGTAAGCTCTTAACAGTATGGAATGCATCGAAATAGTTGCTGAATATTGAAGGATGTTATCCCGAGGTATGTTGCGTGTGAATACAAGCATGTATTGATGTGAAAATTACATGATTAAGTTTTAAAGTCTACTTCTGTTTCAATGGATTTATTCCTCCTATCAGATTGAAGAGGCTGGCCATTAGAGTAATACTGGGGAAAAAAAAATAAATAACTCTTCCCTCTCCCCCTTTACTACCAGAGCAGTTTTGAGAGGAAGAAGGCAGTGAGCCAAACAGGTACAGTCCCACTAGTCTAATCACAGTCAACGTGCAGGACCTAGAACAGACTCTGTAGGAAAGGCAAACTAAAAAGGAAATGCTGGAAAACATTATGAAATGTGCTCTGAGCCTATAGCAGACCCTGCACATGGCAGAAAGTTGCTTTTCTTTGATTTTATTTTTTTTTAATTTCTGTAAAAGCTGAGGCAACTGAACTTCAGTCACGTTCCTGATATTTTCTCACTGACAAATTGTAGGTTTACAGTGACAAGCTAGAGATGATGTTAGCTCCCTCTCCCCTTTTGTGCTATTGTATTTAATGAAGCACAGTCGACTTAAGGGCAGCTTTATATGATGCTGTAAAATGAAGTGCCAAGCTCAAGATAACTCTGCTTCTTTGTGAGTTACTGAAACATTAAGCAGTGTGCATGTATCATCAGTGAAAGGTTATGATTTAAGTAATTTTCCTCTTCGGAATTATCAGTTTTCCAAAACAGTCTTTTGATAATGCGTACTGCTTAGTATTTAAAAAGTTATGATATTTCAAGTGGAGCAAGTAAATATTACTTTGGAAAAATCAATTTTGTAAGAATGAGAGAGTAGCTCTGTAGAAATGTATTTCTTTTAATAAAATAAGGTATTTGCCAGGAAATAGCGGTCTTAAGTATTTGTGTTTAAAATAAAGAAGAAGAAAAGGCTAATTTCAGAATAGCCAGTAATTCTTTGGCTTGGTACTCCTGGGACACAAGGGATTTGGGTCAAAGCCTCTTCTCTGAAGTGGGTGAGCTGAGTCGTGCAGCGAATGCAGTTGTGCTGTAGGTCTGTTGAATGTCCTGGAGTCTTTCCATTTATCCTGTTGGAGCTGGGAGGCTCTGTTCTGCAGATAAATATGAGCTGGCCTACATCTCTACGTAGCTGACAGTCTTGAAGCTTAGGTACTGGAATCTCTACTAATTTACTGTTGCATCCACAAATACTGGAGGAGGAAACCTTTGTCGGAGGCAGCTGCTAGTTGTACACAGCTTAAATATGATGTCCTGCTGAACAGAGTTGAACAGAGTTGAACTGAAGACCTGCAGAAGCATCGTTGACACTTTTTTAATTTTTCTTTAGTTAAGACCCAGCGAAAAAATCTAGCATGAGGATTGGTAGACCCCCTTCCCATGCTTCTAGGAACAACTGGAGATAAACGTGGTGCTTCATTTCAATAGCCAAACATTTGCTTAAAACTATTTTTTGGAATATTTGCCATCTTTAACTCTATAGTCCCTAAATATCAGTTGTTAGAACAACCAAGAGTAGAGTCTCTAGACAGAGCAGTGATATTCAGGCTTGTCTGAGTTAGTGGTCAAAGAAAAATCATTCCTGCACAGAGATTTCTTAGGAACCTGATGAAATCCGACCTCTGTGCTGACATTCATTTGGATATAAATTGCTGAGGCTGTTCAAAATATGTCAGTTCCCATTCTTCACTTTCTCTGTTCACATTCCTTCTACTGGTGTGATGCTCCTTCTGTTTAGCCTGCTTAATATTGTCTGTCCACCTTCTGAAGGCTGTACAATTACAAGATCAGCAGCATTCATATCAAGGATCCGAGCAGTCTTCTTTCAGACAGCCTGTCATAGGCCCTGAGAAATAACAGGTGCTCATTTGGCCCAGTAACCTGGTAGGTAGGCAAACTATCCTGGAAGACATCTGGCATCTGTTTGGGTCTGTAAGAACCCACGTGAATACCCTCAGCACTTCTTTGTTGTAAATGTTGTTTTGTCTGTTTCGACTTTATTTTATTGGGGGGAGCTTTTCTGCGAGATCAAGTAGAACAAAGAATTCATGGAAATCTCAAAAGTATGGTGTTGCATAACTGCCTGTGCTGCTTTGCTTCACTGAAGTTACCAGAGGGAAGGTATGGGAAGAATTACACCATGCAGCACGATATGCTTATTCAGGAGTAATGGATTTTGATCATTTGTAAAGAAACAGAGCTTAAATTGAACTCAGTGAACGTCCAGTATATCATGAAATGCAATATATAATAGTAAGGCACTGCTCAGTTCAAAGGCATATTAATTTTTAACTCTCTGTTCATATATTTCACTATTTCTTTTCCTCTGTGCTTGGTGAAAGAGCGAGCCTGGGCTAATGATACTGTCTTTCTGAGATTTTGGAGGTTATGCAAGGTTCTCTCTGCTCAGCATTAGTGCTAGAGAAGCCCTGAAACAGCAGCTTTGTGAGTGCAGCTGTATCACTTAGAAACTTTTGCTTCCTTTAGAGCAGGTGCTATGAAAGGGAGGATGCAAATGGAAGGACTCCATAGCTTGAGAGGAGCTGTTCCTAAAAGCAGACTTTCTCTAGGCTGGTTTACACCTTGAACACTCCTGTTCCTGATGCTCTAGATTCTTGCCTCCTTGTTTGTCTGAGAAGGGCAGTATGGAGACTAGGTCTATGAAGAATAGAAATCACCTCACATATATGGAAAAATAATAATACAGCTCTGCTAAGAGAGAAAAATGATGAAAGAACCCCCCTCCCTTTTCCCCAGAGAGGCATAGATTACAGTGATTGGAAACAGTGAATTCTGGATGTACCCGTGTAGAAAATGCTTCTGCTTATGTGAAGTTTATGCCACAAACCACCAACATCCAGGAAAGCCAGATCCAAGCTTGACCCTTTGTTCTTAACACACCATTAATTTTGGATAAGAGAAAGTACAGCCATAGGAGCTAGGGAGAGGGGTTTAGCTTTAACTTTGAATTGCCAGGCTTTTTGGAGTCATTGAAACTGACCACAGAAACTGTTTTGGGCATGTATGAAATTTTTATAACCGGAAGACAGACAGACAGAAATTTGTGGAAATACTTCCCTTGCTGCATCTTAAGTAACTTATATATCAAGTTACTGTGTAATAATTTAATTACCAACATCACTTACTTGATCTAGAAATAAAAAGTCACTATTTTGTTCTGGAAAACGACACTTCAGCTTTTGATCACAATTTTTACATTGTAAAGCTTCATTATCCTTAAAATGTAGGGCCACCTGCTTCTTCAGGCGATACTCTTCTTGCCAGACCATAAGGAGACGTAGCTGCCAAGTTGAAGGGAGTAGTCTCCTCCATTGCAAAGTCAATAGTCTCCAATTTTTATTTTTTATTTTTTAACTTTAAAGTAATAATACTTCCACATTAAAATAAAAAAAAAAATACTTTATGGAATTGGGCTTTGGTGGGTTACTGAACAAGGTAGAATTACTTGTGGCAAGATCAAAGCAATACAGATCTAAGGGAGTCCAGAGTTTAGTGGATTTCAGTATATTTTTCTTCTTTATGCTACTACCGAAGGGGGAAAAACCCCTCGGTTTACTGAAGTATAAAATATTCAGTATGCTGTGTAGCAACTTTTAAATATTTCCTTTGTGCTTTATTTTGTGCTCTTCTGCGCCACAGCAGATGTGAACACGCGTCCTGGAATGTTTGTTTTAATGCTGCGATAACATGCTGCAGAGATTAGCACTGATCTTGGCATGACTGAACAAAGACATTCAACTTCTGCCCAGCTCGGGAGGCAGGACCAGCCGCAGGCGTAAGCAGAAGCAGCAGGTTTTGTGGGGTGTGTTGGCTTGGGTGAAGAGCTGTAAAGCACAGCCTAGCTGGAGAGACCCATGGAGAAGCTCCCTAGAAGATTGGTTTGTTCTCAGCCCTAGAGTTGAATCCTGCTTTTGAATCCAAAGCTAGCAAAGGAATACAAGGTTAAAATAACGAGGAAAATAACAGAGGAAGGAAAAGGAACAAAAACTGACCCTTAGTTTTCAGAGGAAGGTGTTAATTTAATTGCTTCTGTCACAGGCTTGGGGAAGGAAGTGGCCTTTTATGCTCTTGTACTATGTGGCATACCTATTGCAAAGCCAGGTTTCTCTTGCTTTTTGTACTGATGGTTCACATCCTGGCAACAGTTTTAATAGAGAGGTGCTACCCCTAGAAAATGGGGAGGCCTGTCAGCTGGGTGAAAAACCTATGATGGAAATCCTAAGGAAATTACTGGAGAGCAAAAAATCTGCTGTGGCTTCTGCTGATCTATCTGGTGCTTCTGTGACCTCCATTTTGAGCATTATTAATTTTTCCCTTTTTTTTTTTGTAAAGGAAGCAAAGGAGGTTCACACTACGGATGAAAGCTTCATTTATGGTCCCATATCAGGGTTTTAGCTGTCCTAAATTCTTGCTTTGTGGGAAGCAAAGAAGTGTAATAAGAGGAGGGTAAGGAAGGAGGTAGAAGATCTAGACCTCATGTTCAGTTTTGGTATTCACATCCTTACCTGCTGTATTTAAGCTTTTCATTCTCTATTACCAACACATAGGCAGAAGACTAGACTGTGGCCATACTGTGAGGTCTCACTGCTTGATAATGAATTTAATTATAGCTTACATTTTTTGGCAAGCCCTATGCAGTTAATTGCAGTTATATTGCCCACAGTGATTAATTTTTTTTAGCTGTTCTGAGTGATGTGTCCTGTTAATAGAAATTTTTGTACCTATGAATGATCCTTTTGGAACATTGATGGAAGATTAATGAGCTGCTCTTTCACACTGAATATGCTGCATTTCATTGAACTGGGCAGAGTGAGGAATTGAAGTAGACTTGAGAGTTTTCCTTGTCCTTGAAAGTCCTTTGTTTTCAGGTAGCGTCCAGTTCTGTAACTGCAGAGAAGTATTTCATGACAGGAGAGCAATTTAGGTGCTTTAAGAAAAGTTTGACTGACTCAATATTGTAAACAGAATATTATGTCTTGTTTTTTATTCCGTTCACTGCTCTGAGGTTTGCAGGGGTATTTCCACAAGCCATTCTTACTCTGCAAGGCTTTGATTTTGTTGTGTATGGTTATTAATAACAGTTGTATGTACTAGTTAATGTAAGGGTCATACATCAGCTACCATGTGACAAAAAGGACAGGACTTTTTGAAGTGTCTTTTCCTACACAGTAACTGATGTGTATGTCTTTGTTTTCTTCTCCGAAGTAGGATAATAGGTTTTGGTTGAAGAGATGTGTTGCACTGCTGAATGACAGAGTCCTGCTGTTTGTCTAGTGAAATACCTTTTCCCAGTGTCACTTAACAAGAAGGCTTAACATAATTTGTATTAACATTGGGAAAAAAAAGTAAAATTTCTTTTGAAGTTTATCATATTTCTTAAGAATTCTGCATGTGTGCTTGGAGATGTTTACATTTAGAGGGAACTGTTTCTTAAGGTCATTAACAGCATTGACTCTGTCCTAGTTTCTTATTTATTTGTTTCACGTTTCTTGTTTGTTTCATGTAGATGCAACAGTAGGAGTCTGCGCAAGATGCCAGAGCAGTGGCTAAGCTGTGTGTTGGAAGAAATCAAATCCTGTGATCCTTCATCGACGTTATGTGCAACCAGACGTAGTGCGGGAATTCCATTCTACATTCAGGTACCAAATGATATTATTGTGCCTGATTTGATACATTTTTTTTTTTAATGCCCTCTCTGGTTAGTATGTATATATATTTTGTACTTCGCCCCCCTTTGGGGCAATTACTTTGTTTTATCTGCAGATTTTGGTAGTCTTTGTGCAATCAGGAAGCCAAATGTAATTAAGCCATGTTTGATGCTGTTTAACAATCCTATGGACTCGTAAGACTGCACAGATTTTCAGCTTGTTGTTGATTCAGAAGCATTTCTAAAGACAGAGCTGCAGGCTCAGTGTGACTACTGTAATAATCCCTGCAAATTAATAAATTAATTCAAAGATTAAGTAAAGCTTTGTTACCGTGTAGCTCTGTGCATGTGAAGTGGTCGGGTGCTAAAATACGAAGAGAAAACTATTGAATTGTAAAATGGTGGCCTAGAAAATACTACAAAAAACTAGGGAAGTCCTCTCAACTGTTGTGAAGCAGGATCAAGTGATGTCAGTCACTACTGGTTGATGTGACATGGAAATCTCAACACTTACCTCTTCCCATTCCTTTGTTTCATTAAAGTAGACACGATTGTTCTCCTCTAAATTAACCTTCACGATCTTAGTTTTCAGCCAGTTTTCTAAGACAGAAATCCAAGATAACTACGTGATTTGTAACTTTCTCCACTCGCTGAAGCATATTCTCAGGCATGTTCCAAGAATGTGAGGGACTGCTGGGAGCAAGCTCTCACTGCCAGAGTAATCTGTCTTGCTTGTTTTCCACTTCGCGTTTGCCCTGAGAAAGTTGAGGCAGCCTGCTTCTGTCTGACCTCTCTTCTGTCAGTCACAGCCTACTCCTGGCTTTGCTAGATGTGTGCGCACTACATAGCAGAGATCACAAACAGAGCATTGGTTTTAGGGATGGTTTTTCCTTTTAAACTTCAGTGGTTAAAGATTTTCCCTTTTATATCTGCAAAGTTTCTGCAAAATAGATTTGGTGACTTCATGTCTGCTGGTTTCCCCATTCACACCACAAAGTTTGAATCCAGTGGGCAGTAGCCAGCTTTAATCCTTAGAATGTGAAAGAACAAATGTCTTTGAATCAATTTTTCATGTAAAACCTAACGCTGTTCAATGTAAGAACTAGGTGGACCCAACAGTATCCCACTGCAGAAAACATTTGTGTAGTCTGCAGTTGGCCTACATTGCTGAGTCCATATGGCAAAGCTTCCATTGTGCCATAGCTGTTAGGATAAATAGGTCACATGCCTTGGTTCTGACAGCTCTGGAAGAGTATGAAGTTAATCTAGGCAATTAATGAGAAGGTTTGAAGTGAACATTGGGGTTAGTCTGAAGTCGTTTATTTCTGAACTATAATTTTATTGTAAGGAAAGTTGGTGGAGCTCTTTGCCAGTAGTTCTGAATGTGTCTGTAGTACTCAGTAAAACAAATTAAGCCTTAAATAGCATGTTGCATTTAGATAATAAAAATATAAATTGTAATGCATATGCTAACAGTACTGTAATAAGGTTATTTTATTAATGCATAAAATCAAGACTCATTGTGGTCTGTTTGCCATCTGCTTCCTGTGACATTTATTCTTGTTTTAGTAGAACACATCTGTTTTAATGATAATATGTAATTTTAAGGTTATGAACATATTAAATGACCTATTTAAAATAGAAATATGACTACCTAGCTGTACAGAGGTACAGCTCCAATCAAAGGGTGAGGAAATGGTGGGAAAATGCTACTTACAGCTTCGGTGTTCTTAGGTTATGGAATCTTTGTCTGCTTTATACTTCATAAATACTGTTTTTTTCTTCCCTCTCTGTTTCTCCCGTTCTTAAAGACACTGATAAAATGACATTGACTCCATCTGGGTATCTGCCTAACCTCTATACTTCATTTGGCTTGAAGTTTTTCCGTTCGGTTGTTTTTAAGCAATGTAATGTACTATTAAATAACTTGTTTGAACTGATGCTGAACAGACTCTGGGTCCCAAAACACAAATGGATAATCATTTTTATTAGAAATAAGTGATTTATGATTATCCATTTGTGCTAAGTCAGACAAATTCGACAAGAGCTGCTAGGACAGAGTGAGAGACTGTTTTAACTCCAGTCCTGAACTGAAGGATTAAATTAGAGTATTTTCGTCTCAGCTGGATATGTTGGCACCCATTAAACTGTTGCTATTTGGAGGTTGATGCATCTCTTCTCTCTTTTCAAAAATGTGCTGCTTATTTTATCCTGTTTTGAAAAACAGGTTTTATTCTTCAGCCAGGCCATGTCATCTTAAATACGTATATTATTAGGCTAAAAAATTGTCCATAGTAGGAAATATAAGCATGTATAATATGGCAGATACTTTTGTTGCAATAAATAATCTGATTATGTGTGTGATAACTTACATTATCACATTACTTTATTTTACTATTTATGACTATTAATATTAATACATTACTATTACATTATTTTAATATTACTATTTTTTATTTACATTACATATAAATTATCACATTATCACATTATATTCTGTTATATACAGAGAAATCTCTGTAGGCAGAGGTATAGTGCAGAAGCGGTTTTCTTATTTAAACATTGAGTGCTAAGAATGCCTTCAACAAAACTAAGAGTTAAAACTGAAACTTGCTTTTGCAACTTTTTTTCAGTCATGGGCAGAAGCTAGGCAGCACTATGGTGAATACAGAAACCTGGAACAGAACTAGCAGTAAACAAAACTGGCTAGAAATAACAGGGTTTTTCTGTTAACTTTTCTGTAGGCTTTGTTAGCTTCAGAACCAAAGAAGAGCAAAGCAGATCTGCTGAAAATGACCATGAAAGAATTGCTGTCTTTGGCGGCACCTTTGAATGAGTCATCAAGTGTCATTCCACAGGTAAAATACAGCATCTCATCAAAAGGCAAATGTCAAAAAAATTGTTTGCATTATTTCGAACAATTAAGGAGATTATGAGTGCTTTTAATAATAATTTGTTTTTATTGTCTATGGCTGGATTTTAAAACCTTTTGACAAGCAGAGGTTATAGAATCACTGGAATTGGCAAATGCATAAAATATTAAAGGGGGTTGGACGTAACTTCATAGTTTTTTCTAGTATAACAGATATAGTCATATCCATTTTGAATTTATGTGATCAGTTTACTGTTTGTAGTGTATTGCTAAACAAGCAGATGAGCAACCTTTAAAAGGAAATTAACAAGCAAGCATTATTTTTACTTTTAGACTAAACAAATGCGTTGCATAAACCATATTTTATGCAGCAGAAATACTATATGAAAAGTAATTTTAAAGCACAATTAGTAACTTCTGTAACTTAAATATATATTTTTGGAATGCATAATAATTGTAAATTCAAGATCTTTATTTTCAAATGCAGTTATCAAATATTTAAATGTATTGTCAACAAAACGTGGCTTGGACTTCCAAACACAAAGATTAACAGTGTTCTAATGACTCTGCCAGATCTTTTGCTGGTAGAAATTTATGTAGCCTTGTCAAAGTCTGTGAAGCTACACAGATTACCACCTTCCCCTGCAGAGAGTAGAGAAATATCAGAAAATTCTCCATATGGTAAAGCAACCCTGGCTGTCAGTTTTAGCTTAATACTGTCCTCCTGTGAGCTGTAGTTTATTTTTTCTCACAGTATCTATTGCATGTCAAGAATGTTGGAAAAGATGATTCTAAACTTTGAAAGTTATTTTTACAGCCATGATAAGCTAAGGAAAAAAGAATGCTGGCCTTCTCTTGTAATGCCTGCACTGTATTTATTAGACAAATATATTTTTAAACCATAATTGTTTTTTATCAGTGCGTTCTGCTGTAGCATTTTAATTTATTAGTTTTAACAGTGTTCTGTATTTAGTATTCTTGTGAAACAAAAATAATCCATGTGCACATTTACACCTTTCCATACTAAACACATGTTGTTATGGTAATTAACATGCATTAGGTTTAAGATTTTTGGTTGAATTTATATTTTTTCCTGTATTTCTCTTACCTCCACAGGTTCATGCTTTAAATATCCTGCGGGCACTGTTTAGGGATACACGTTTAGGTGAAAACATCATGCCTTATGTTGCAGATGGAATACAAGCTGCAATTCTAGGGTTTATGTCACCTGTTTGGGCAGTAAGTTAATTCTTAGTTTTGCTTTTCTGATGTAACAGTATTTATAGTGGTGCTTTTCTGTGAAACTATGGTTACATTTGGAAATGATAGTACTGCAGTTACTGGAATGTCACATGATGCAGTACTTTAAGATACAATAAAGAATACTGTAGACTTGAAAAAAAAGTCATGGTTTTGTTTACAGTTTTTGGTTTTGTTTGGATTTTCCTCTGTAATGTGAAGTGCTGATGCTGACAAAAGGTAGAGACAAAGATTGCCTTCTAGATAAGAACACATCTGGCTATTACATTTTGAGTCAGTATTCCTAACTTGTAAGTATATTTTCATTGATTCTCACTGTTACTTTGTTTTTTAATAAGAGAGTATTCCATATGGAATGTGAAGGTAGAACATTTTATTATCTGCCATGCATAAGGTAGAATCCTTTTAACCAGTAGAATCTAGATACATCCCCTATGTTAAAGATAGACATCTCCAAAATCTGATTTTCTGTTAGTGCCATCTTGACTGAGAGGAAAGATGTTATGAAATCCTTGTTTCTCTCTTTTAATTCCTGAACAGTAGGCATGCACTGTCCTTCACTCAGCTGTTTTTCTTTTCTACATTAGTGTCTGTATTTAAAAAATAAAATTAAAAAAAAAAATCGAATTTTTAAAACCACATGTTCTTTTCTTTTTTCCATTAGGTAAGAAATTCATCTACCCTTCTTTTTAGTGCTCTAATTACAAGAATTTTTGGGGTTAAAAGAGAAAAAGACGAAAATTCCAAAAAAAATAGGTAAGCTTCACTTGGTACCAATTTTAAGTTTGCAAAACATGACCTTAGCCAAAAACAATTTGAAAATGTTGCTTGCTTTATGGATATATTTGAATCATGATGTTATGAAAACATCTAGGTTTGCTTAAACTGTACTGCCAAGAAATAAGCTCGAGGGCTAAAAATATGTGCTATTAAACACCAAGAGTTAGTTTGTACTCACGTGTGATTTCACAAAAAGGAAATGTTGCTCAGAGGTGTGGGTATCTGTGTCTCTCACAGATGTCCTTTGTGGCCATAGACTAGGCCTATGGCCCTTCTGAGAGAGAGGGGGTTGAAGAAGAGTGGAGGCAGTAGTCACTTGTGTGGTCCCCTATCTCTAGAGCAGGCCTGGAGGTAATCTTACCCATACTAATTTGAGATTTTTACCTTTAGTCACTTCACCCTAGAACATCCTATTCCTCCTTCACATCTCTTTCCTCTAAGCTCCAAAAATACCAGCTTAAAAAGCTGCTTCTTTTCCAGGGTATTCTACCTTTGACCTCTGTAGTTGTGCTCCAGGTCTTCTACTGTCTCCCATTCTTATGAAAGACAATTTTTCTCTGACTCTAACGCTCTTCCCAGTCATGTGCATTTCCATTTCTCTTAGCTCTCCTGTTCGTGCACAAGCAGAAAAGCAGAAGCTGGCTGTTGGAAGTAGGCATTCTCCCACCCTCCTGTTTTCTTTGGCCTTTAGGCCCTTCCTTTAGCTTCTGCGGCAAATGAGGCATGTCCATGCCCTGTGCTCTGTAGCTGAGGCTCCTGCACTGGGAGGGATGCAAAAATAACCCCAGACACAGAATAAACTTATTATTAAAAATACTCCTTGATGAATCTGTGGGGCCACAGAGAGGTCACACGATGGATATTATGGTAACCATTTCAGAAATTCCTAGTGGATTTTCAAATAATGGGCAAGGTGTGAGATTTCTGAGAGAAGGCAGATGTTACGATTTACCTCTGAAAATTTCCGCTCACTTCTATTCATCGTACAGTGATTCCTTTTCTGTGTAGCTAATGTAATTCTCCTGCCTGTGATAAGAAACCAAATGTCCTGGGATGATAGTAGTCTGTGGTGGTGCTGTTTTAGCTCTTCAAAATACTTAATTTCAGGTGTAATAAAAAAAAAAAAATTAGTTACTATGCATATGTGAGTGGGAAGAAGAAATATAGGTGAAACATTAGAGGGAGATTTCCCTTAGAAGATAACTTCTCCCCAGAAGTGATTTGAAACGTCATCTCTCTTACTGCTTGAAATAAACTCTGCTTTGTCTTACACCTAAATCGCTTTTCATCTAAACCTGGAATTCAGTTCCACAACTCCTGAAAGCCAAATAGAGCAATAACACATTTCTCATTTCTTGCCTTTTTGCTTTGTTTTTGTAACAAAACCTTTTTTATTTTTTCATTTCTCTATTGAGCCCTTATTGAAAGTGGTATGAGCCTCAACTTTCATAAACCTGTATCCCAGTGAAAAACTCACCACTAGCCTCTGCAGTGTGAGGGTAGACTTGACTTCTCAAATACAAGCAGTGTGGTGAGATGTGTAATCTGCAATTGCTGTTTGTGGAGTTGCAGAAAGTAATGCATCTGTTGGGGAAACAGCAGAAAAAAGGAAAGCTAACTCCTATACATCTGAACTCCTTACAAACTATGTTAATTTTTTATATGACTGGCTTTGTCAAGTTGCTTCTCTGAAGCTGTTTGCTTATGGTAATTTGTTTGTAGTCACTTTGACCAAAAGATATCAAAGCTGGCTTGGCTTCTTTCTCTTTTTTCATTTTGCACTTTTTCATTAAACATTGTATGTCGTTAGTTCTGTCGTTTCCCTTGTGTAGTGGTCAATGCTGCAAAACAGGGCCAGTGTGAGGCAGCAGGTACGAAAACGGAGGCAATTGCAGGTCATGCAGCATAGTTTAGGTGATTTGATTTCAAGCTTGACTCCTATCTCTGCTGGAGGTATTAGTTTAGAAGGAAAACGATGCAGAGGTGGTTTGGCTCTTCTGCTTGCAGTGCTTCTCCCTCTTACACCAGCAACCATGGACTGAAGCTCGCCTGAGGCGTGCAGGTAGGGAGGTTGGTCTGGCGGTGCTGCGGTACCGGTAGGTGTCACCGTTGCTGCACGGCTGTGTGCAGCCACGTCCCTGGGGTGCAACTGCACTTGGGCACTTCTCTTGGGGAGCGCTAATCTTGTTTTGTTCAGTGTTTTGCCAGAACAGAATTCGTATATTAAACCAAAGTGATCTTTTTTTTTTTTCTGCTTTTAGATGTGGCAGTTTAACTTCAAAACAACTAGCATTTCGGCAACTTGCATCTACAGGAGCTTGTGTGAAAGTCAGCTGGTTTTGAGATGCTTGTCCTGCTGTCTGCAGGATATTCTGTTTGCATTAAGGGGAAGTCTGTCTGTAGACACAGACTAAAACGCTGAGGCAGCCATCAGGACCATGTATAGGTTTCCAGTTTGCCCTTCTGATTTTAGGGTTTTAAATCTGTCCCGTGTCAGCAGGGAGCTGCGTTATTGCTGGGCTTCTCTGTCAGAAAAAGATTGACTTTGTGGTCATTTTCTCAAGAAGAGTTCCTATGAAGTTGATACAGTTTGGGGGGAGGGGATGACATTTGTGTAGACTTCCAGCAAGAAAGATTTTTTGGAAAAGTACTGGCAGCTTAACTCTAATTCTGTGTTACTTTACTATTTTTTGTTTGTTTTATGCTTTTTATTTTTATTTTATCTCCACTAAAGTTTCACACATAGTATCCTTTTATACAAAACTCACAGGCCTATCAAGTCTTATGCTGCTTTTTGTTTGCTGATGCCTTTTGTTCCCCTTTCCCCAAATTCTGGTGTCATGTTGTCCATTTGCGATAGAAAAAAAACTGTGCAAAGAGGTCCCCCATCTCAGTGAGAGATTGAGGGGGGATTCTTAAGTCTGCTGGCAGAAGTTTTAAGTTGCATCTGCGGTGTCTGTTCGCACTGTTGAGCAGAGGCAGAAGGGGCACGTTGAGTGGGCTTTCTGGTCTTAGAGCAGGTACAAGGAAGGTCAACCAGAACTGTCTTTCTGAGGACAAGGCAATCCTAAACTATGCTAAAGAAGGTCCCTTCTCTCGAAGCTTGGTGTGTGTTTTGAGGAGATGCTGGTTGAAGAAACGATTACCTACACATCGTGGCTCCTGCTTCTTGGCTCTGCTGAGGGTCCCCTGCACGTGTTTGCAGCAGCAGCTGTGTTGGCACAGCTGGGGAATGGAGAACTGGGGCAGTGAGGGAAAGGGATTTCTTGAGCAGAATTCTGTGCTGATGCCAAGCTTCACTCTTAATGGTTCACTGGAAATTTGAAGGGACTACTCCACATCACGCAGTATAGCAGATGCAGTCATATCCCGTTTTTATTAAATTCTGTGTCTTTTTAATTTCAGCATGAGTAAAGAAATAATGAGTTGGAAAACTAATTCTTGAAAAATAACAACTGCATGCAGCTCTTACAAGTAAAAGAAAGCATGTGAAGACTCTTTACAGTGCTCTGTGCAACTCTACAGGTCGAGCGTTTTTTCCTACTGAAAAAGTTAGAACCAAAGAATTTTTTTAGTTCTATTTCTTTCTCTTTCTGAGAAAGACTGTATCAAAAAATTTAACACTGCTTTGTTTGTGGATGCACGCATACATATTTTGCTAAATGATGCTTTGAATTGCAGATAATTTGCATTTTATAAATGGTTTTGTTAACACCTGTAAGGTGGTTTGGTTTAGTTTCTGTTTACTTGATTTGGAAGTATAATTTCTTAAACATTGTGATCATTTCAGATCTGTGAGACCGTAAGTGAATTTTTAGCCACACAAATGCAAAATACTGAAGTAGCTACCGTACCATCAACCCCATTCTCCAGCCCCACTGTCATTCAGCTTTTAGTCCTGTTCTCCAGTTGCTGTGGCCCCAGTGCTCCAAGTGCATCCTCTCACTGCCTTCCCTAGCCATGCTGGTCCTCCAGAAGCACCACTCTGAGGAACATGTTAAAAACCCAAGTACGGCACATGGCTTAGTACAAATTTGTTGAAGTAGGACTTTGAACAGCACTGAGTGTGGTAGACTGGAGAGCCACCTGTGGCAGATGAGCTTTGCCTCTCGTGTTTTGATTAAATTGCTGTTTCCAGTCTTCTCGTGTAGTCAATTCACAGTGTAGATTTGCTGATCCCGTTCACTTCTAAAGAAGCTGGGGTATAGCGTGTACTTTCTATTCTGTTTTTTTTCCCCCATGGGTATTATTTAGCATTGGTACAGATCACAATTCATCTAAAGTAAATGTTTGCTCTAGTTGATGTAGGCTCGTTTTCGTCATATGAAGAGATGAAGAGATTCTAAAAATAAAAAGGAATATATATTGTGATAGTTAATGCACATCTGTACATGAAAGTCAAAATAATTTACATATAAAGTTAACTGAAATTAATTCTGAAATGTAATTAAATTTCTCATCATAGAGGAATTCTTTTCTAGCCAAATACATTACAGTAGTAGTAATGATACTTTCACCTACATTGTTACATGCTTCCACATGGGCTATATGTATATATACACATACATGCATACCTTTATCCACACGCAGGTGTCTGTGTGTATATTTGTATATCAGAGGCCTTGTTGGTCTGTAGTCCAGTGCTAATTGAATACGCTATTGCCTGTTACTAGACAAGACTGTTCTTATCAAATATCTGCTATTTCTGGCTTTTATCTTTTTTTCAAGGATGGGCATAATCAGAAATTGTCTTGGAGGCAGTTTGCCATTTGAACTAAGGCATGCTTCAGTCTTTGGAGCAATAAAAAGGGATTGTCCTGGCTTATCTGAAAACTGAAGTTTTTTGGGTTGGCATATGAATGTTGCAAAATCCTCAGAAAGAAGAACCAATGGCTTCAGAGGCTGGGGTTAAAAGAAAGAGCAGGGGGAGGATTTCACTTGGCTTCTGACCTTGATGGAGGAGGATTGAGTAAGGA